AAGCCATCAAGTTCTTTGAGGAGAGGTTGCCAATTACGGCGGCTTGAGGGGTGATGGCCAACAACCTCACGGATTTCCTCCTCTTCTAAGAGTTCACGGAATAATCCAACCCTTGTAGTCCTTCCCAAGGTACCATGGTGCTTATCCGATAGTAACCAGACGCGGAGAAATTCTTTAAATGTGAACCGCTGCTCTCGCCACAGGTACATTGTTTCGCGGAATTTGTCAAATGGTTGAAGCCTTCTCTTCCCTGTAACACGCCGAATCTGCCGATATCTTGTAGGGGATCGTCTTGGGGAAGGACGTTTTGGTCGGGGTGTCGAATCTGAGGGTGAAGACGAAGGAGAGGGCGATGATGATAAATATATCTCATCTGGCGGTATAGAAGATAACTCACTTGAGAGGAAGGACGCGGTCGACATGGTGAAGAGGAAGATGATGCGTTCTTGGACTGTAGAGTGGTTGGGTTGGTCCTAAAACTTGATGAAATGTAGAAGTCAACGCGTAGAATCAATTTCTGAAAACATATTAGCGATAGCCATTCTGTATCAAGTACACTTAGCGATGGGAGTTCTCTCACCTATTTCACGATATGAAGCTGTACACCTCCACACAAACTATGCAAGAGTCTCTCAGACGGCAGTGGTGCCCTCTGCCTTCAAGGCGCATGATTGGTCAATATTTAGTGGCGTGTGCTAAAGAAGAGGCTGGGCTTCATTGGGTATAGCGGAGCCCCATAATGGCCAGGGGGCACCATTGCCGCCTGAGTCCCAACTGAGATAAAGTAGAAGCGGCTGGCCATGTCTGGCTGGAAGTTGAGGCCTAAGGCACCAATTTGACCCACACTTCGGCAGATCCTCGGAAACAAAAATTCATAAGCGATTCCACACAATATCTTCGCTTTTCATCGTCCACTTCAACATCCTTTGTCAACCTCTACATCTTCCTTTCTGTGTCAGCTTCAAGTTCTTGATACAATATCCTTCATCATGGTAAGCTAGCATCTTCCCCTCGGGTCGTTGACCCTTTCCCCAATTGCAATACAATGCGACAACCCATGGTCGTCGTGTTCGTGCACTCAATCCAAGCAGGACGATTTCATCGTCCTTGCTAATAATGGATGAGAAACGGCTGAGCAAGGTCTTCCACTGGTGGAACCTTGCTCTTAGAGACGAGAAACCTCTTCTGGATAAACAGTTGCTGATGGTTCTCTCTCAATGACAGCCACCCAAAGGAAAGAAAGCGGCGCCCGCGCCCGCGCCCTTCGCAGGAGGGAAGGCTGGCAGCAAGAAGCAGGTCAAGGTTCGTAACATCTTCCTATCATATATTTCATTGCGCTCACATCATGTAGAACCCTCTCATCGAGAAGCGCACCCGAAACTTCGGTATCGGCCAAGACATCCAACCGAAGCGCAACCTCGGGCGCATGGTGAAGTGGCCCGAGTATGTCCGTCTTCAGCGCCAGAAGAAGATCCTCAACATGCGCCTGAAGGTCCCGCCGCAAATCGCCCAATTCCAGCACACTCTCGACCGCAACACCGCCGCTCAGAGCTTCAAGCTGCTCAACAAGTACCGACCTGAGACTAAGCCTGAGAAGAAGGATCGTCTGCACCAGGAGGCTACCGCTGTTGCCGAGGGAAAGAAGAAGGAGGACGTCAGCAAGAAGCCCTACACCGTCAAGTACGGCTTGAACCATATTGTTGGGCTCATCGAGAACAAGAAGGCATCTCTGGTCCTTATTGCCAACGATGTTGACCCCATCGAGCTTGTCATCTTCCTCCCCACTCTCTGCAAAAAGATGGGTGTCCCTTACGCCATTGTCAAGGGCAAGGCCCGATTGGGGACTGTTGTCCACAAGAAGGTAATTCAACAAACTCTACATCGATACACTGAAACTAACTTTTCCAGACCGCTGCTGTCTTGGCTCTGACCGAGGTCCGCGCTGAGGACAAGAACGAGTTCTCCAAGCTCGTTTCCGCCATCAAGGAGGGCTATGGTGAGAAGGCTGACGAGGCCCGTCGTCACTGGGGTGGTGGTATCATGGGCGCCAAGGCCAATGCTCGCCAGGAGAAGAAGCGCAAGGCTATCGAGAACGCCATCAAGATCTAGATTAGTCTCTAGATGAGTCGGTAGCAGTCTTAGCATCTCCACGAATCCGTGGTTCGCATGGAGTGAGGCGTCTTAAAGGTTCGGCAGAACCGGAGCTCGGTTTGGATGAACTGAGATAAAATTTGCGGAATTTGTATGTTAAGCGTGACGGGTTCAATGATATCCACGTAAATTCAACAAATTTCTGCTCCATGGTGCTGCGTAATCTGTCGTATTAATATTCGCGTGTCTAATCGCAATTCGCACATAGCTCTAGGCCTGTAGCGAGGAGGGTTTTTTTAGAGGGTCAAAGGTGGGTCCCAGAGAATTAACCCTAGGCTCACGAAGTATAAAAACTTTACTTCACCTCTCGTCCATGAACTTCTACAACTTTCCAGCCCGGGCTGTTCGCTCTTCAAGAGCCCATCCATCAACCACACCTCCTCTCACACCTCCTCTCATGTTTATTTGGTTACAAAACCTTCATCCACCTTAATGACACTCCATCTCGCTAGCTGAGTTGCCTCGACAGCTCTTTAGCAGCTGAAAATACAAAAGGTATGTCTGATTTCCAATCCCCTCCGTTTCCCGCGTCGAATGATGATTATACATGCTGTGCACCAATCCGAACGACTTGTACTCATTACAATGTGGACATTTCACCTTATATGCATTAACTGATCGACCTTCATTGTCATAACTGGCTTAATTCAATTTTGAGCGGACACAGGCTGACAATTTTGAGCTTAGCCGAAACATACCCGTTGGATATCAACAAAACTCTTCACCTCGCCACCATGGTGCTTCACAACCCCAACAATTGGCATTGGGTCAATAAAGATGTTTCTGTGTGGGCGAAGGAGTGGTTGGAGAAAGAACTCTCCACTGTCGAAGCCCAGGACGGTGATATCACCGCCAAGGTCGATAAAATCATCAGCATGGACGGGGACGTCGACGTGAGCCAACGGAAGAACAAGGTCATCACCTTGTTCGACGTGAAGCTGCAGTTGGAATACAGCGGCAAGAACGCGGAAGGAGAGGACGTCAGCGGCACCATCACGGTCCCTGAGGTCGCTCACGATACCGAGGAGGACGAGTTCGTCTTTGACGTGGATGTCTACTCCGAGTCGGAGAAGAAGCAAGCCGTCAAAGACCTCGTCCGCTCCAAACTCACTCCCCAACTCCGTAAGAAACTCGTCGAGCTCGCCCCGGCCCTCATCGCCGAGCATGGCAAAGACCTGCAGCATGCACCGGGCGCCAACCCATCCAGCGGCTTCACCACCCCACAATACGTGTCAAGCACTTCAACGCCGAAAGGTAGCGATGCATCAAAACCGGCAAGTTCATTGCACACACCCACCAGCAACGTCAACGTCGTGACCCTAAACGATGACGCCGAGTTCCGCACCAGCGCCGACCAACTCTACCAGACCTTCACTGATCCCCAACGCGTCGCCGCCTTCACGCGTGCCGCACCCAGCCAATGGGAGGGCGCGCGGCAAGGCGGCAAGTTCGAGTTGTTCGGCGGGAACGTCAGCGGGGAGTTCGTGGAGCTGGCGGCGCCGACGCGGATCGTGCAGAAATGGCGGCTCGCACAGTGGCCGGCGGGGCATTTCTCGACGCTGGCGATCCACTTCGATCAGAACAACGTGGACGGAGTGACGGTGATGCGGGTGAACTGGGAGGGGGTGCCGGCGGGCCAGGAGGAGGTGACGAAGCGGAATTGGGGGGAGTATTACGTGCGGAGTATAAAGATGACGTTTGGGTTTGGGACGGTGCTGTAAGATGATGAACGTATGGGAATGACTTGACGATTATAGGAGGGTTAACGGGATGCGGAGCAATGGTGGACGGCTACATCACATTAGAGAATATCATCCAAGCAGCAGTTGCTACCTTGAACGACGTCTTGCGCCAATATTGTATTGTGCATTCATCTACTGTGTATCTGGAGGAAGGCTCTCGTGCCAACGTCGCTTGGGATTCCTTTTCCTCGGGTCAAGCATTTCCAATTGCCACCTATTCACTCTCTGTAGCTTTTCCGTGATAGGGCTCGCTCCTGGCACCACGTCTACACCGCTCAGGTGGTACAGCTTCGTGCCTGCCCGATTCCCCCAACCCCGAACACTCTGTCCGCACACCCTCCCATTGAACACGTTGAGCGCAATGTCCGTCAACAAGACCATATCGCCCATCTCCAGCGTCTCGACCTGACGCCGCAGCTGCACCCTCATATCTGCCTCCCCCGCCTCCCGTCGCGCCCCGCGCTCCGACGGCTCAAACCAGAACGAGATCCGAAACCGCCCCGCCGTCTCGTCCGCCACTTCCAGCTCCACGATCTCCATCCGCTGACCGCGCTGCTGCGGACTGCGCACCGTTACCGCTTTCGGCGGGCACATCGCGACGACGGCGACGAGGAGGTGGGCTTTGATCACTGAGAGACACGGGCCGTGGCGGGATCGGAAGACGTGGGTGGCGGTGGGAAGCGCGGAGAGGTCGAGGATGCGAGGGAGGGAGGAAAGATGGGCGGCGGTTATGGGGGAGGATTGGAGGACGTATGGTGCGCTGGTGGAAGAGTCGCCCGTAGCCCGAAACGAGGACTCTTCTGTCGCTAAAATCGAGCTATTGGACTGGTCGTCGAATTCCTCGTGTATCGCGAACGAGTCATCCAAAAACGTCCGCTCCGCATCGTCTCCCAGCTCTTCATCCTCCCCCACTGATTCATTCGAAGAAACATGCCTATTTCGTCGCGTCGCTGCATCGGATAATCCCGACCTAACCGGCCGCGTCGTCGTGATATCCAGATCTGCAAGTCCCAGGGTCCGCCATCTCGGTCTTGCCGGACTGGGAGATCTAATCGCCGAGAGTTGCGCCTTTAGGTCGGAATCCTTCAGCAGACCCGCTTCATCCCAGTCCAAGTCCGCCCATGTGGGAGCTCCGGTGAGGAGGATAGAGGTGGCTGACATTTATTCTGCTATGTGCAGCTGTTCAAATGTCGTCGTGTACATCTGATTACGTGTCGTGGTTGGGACGTGCGTACGGAGGTTGCAGTGGGTGTCTGTGGGATGAATATTGCACCCTCCACATGCGCGACGCCGAACCCCAGGGCTTCAATTATCAGATGGACAGAATTCGTAATCTGATGCAATGACGCAACTAAAAGTAGTGCGGAATTACAGGTGAAGACTAACCGCATTGATACCGTATGGGGAGATTTAAGGCAATATCAAAATGCTTATTTGATGACTCTTAAGTCTTATACCTTGCTAGTTAACGGTAGAATGGTACCGTAGTAATTTGTAGTGCCGATGGGGCCAGCCGAATGCCGTTGCCATCGAGTGTAGAAATATCCTTATACTGCCGATATTCCATGCAAAAATGTTTGAAGAGTAATTTCTATTATTTCCTTCCACGCCCACACTTCGTACCAAACTTTATCCTTCCCTATCTTGCATCTGAAAGTTGAGAGGTCGAGATCTATTCGAGTTCGTCCATCCATTCTTGTAGTTATGGCGTCATTGCTTCGAGGCATCGTCAACCGAGTGTACGGAACCGATCCGAACCAGACAGGCTTTATACATGCGAAGAAAGAAGAACTATTCTCCAAGACCGACCCGGCAATAGACGGAGAAGATTGCGAGCATGACTGCGAAAACTGCAGCGTGTCGCTGCCCGCCAAATTCAAAATCAACGAGGACATGGAACTCTACGGCAACCTAAAACCGTGGAATAGACATATATTGGTGGCTACGGGGAAGAGCGATTGGGTGCGTCGAAAGATATATGTGTGTGTCCCGGTTCGGAACTGATGATAGCTAGAAACACGATGTCGCGGATGAGACGGATTCCATCATGCAGGCGATCGCCAAATCGGATGAGAAGGTGACGGACGGGCGACTGATAGTGTCTGCCTCCAACATGCCCGCCTCCTTGTCCAACGACACGACGACCGTGCTCCTACTCCCATCTTTCACCATCATCGATAATGTGGTCCCGTCCAACACCTCCACCCTCATCTCGCAGCACATCAACACTGCACTAACCAACTCAACCCCTCTCACAACGAAACGAGAAACCCCCAGTCCTTCTCCAGCGCCAGAACTCCAGAAGACCCTGAGCAAACAAGAATCCCTATCATCGCAACCTTCCAGTGAGAAGGCCCCCCACCTGCTTCCCCGCCCCTGCCCCCACAAATACATCATCCTCCTCTGCAGCCACCGCACCCGTGACGCGCGCTGCGGCCAGTCCGCCCCCCTCCTGTACAAAGAATTCGCCCGGCACCTCCGCACGCACGGCCTCTTCCGGGACATAGACGACGAACGGCCAGGCGGGGCGGGGGTGTACTTCGTGTCGCATTTCGGCGGGCACAAGTTTGCGGCCAACGTGGTCATCTACCGGCGGGGTGAGGCGGAGGGGGATGGGGCGACGCAGTGTATTTGGTTGGGGAGGGTGCGGCCGGAGGATTGTGAGAATATCGTGAGGTATTCGGTTTTGAAGGGGAAGGTGGTGAAGCCCGAGCGACAGTTAAGGGGGGGTTTTGATCGGGAGAAGGGGGTGGTTAGTTGGTGATTGGTTCTTGTTTCGTCTTGTAGGCCGTGGCGTTAGTTTCGGTAGAGTCATAGATCGTTAGATGGTGTTCGATTCCAGGCGGCTGGACCTGATTGGAAGGCCGACTTCAGCGCGCATCGATGAATATTTCAATATCATGAGGTTGCTGCTTTCACCTGGTTTCGGTCCCCGTGTTCCGAATCACAGACGACAAACTCGCATTCCCGCCAACCGAGCCGTCGTCTTCCTCCTGTGCCAGCATCGCAGATCTGAAAACGGAGCCATCGGGAGTAGACGAGGCTTCATACGTATCCGAGCTGCCTATGCCATGCATGGTTTGATCTTGAAACGCCAGCATCTCATCAGCCAGCCCGAGATCTATGGGCTCCATCCCATTCAAGAGCTCCGCAAACACAACCATGAGCTCATCGAACTCGTCTTTGGACGCCGGGATCGTGGAGAACCTCGCTCGTTCATACCGTCCAATAAACTCTTCTGCCATATCGAATGATTGAACCACCCCAAGCCCTTCCAGCTGCATGAGATATTCCCGCAACCCCGCCGTCTCGGACCGCTGCAGCAAAGCTACAACCCTGGAGACGGGTATGTTTGGTGCATTATCGTCGCTGTCCAGCTGTGGCACGGGCATTGGATCCACCGGAGCAAGCGACACGGCTCGCGCTTCGATGAGATTCGGCAACTCCGCAATGACGGTCCCGTAGCTCACCAGATCCGCGACATTCCCCAACGTCGTATCCGCGGTATCCCAGCCTGGATGTGAAATGATCCCCCACGGCGGATTAAGCGGGTCGATGGGCATGGCGGGCGAGTCGCGACCCTTCGTGCGCGTCCGCTTTCGCATGACAGGCAGCGCATGATGCGGGATCTCCTCCGTGGTGTCGTGGGTGGCGGACGGATGGAGCGCGTCGTTCTCGGCGGCCAGGTCGCGGGGGCGGGACTCCCAGGCGATGAGGGCGCTGCGGTCCCATTCGCGCTCGATCAGCTTGCGGACCTTCTTCCCAACCTCGGGGGCCTCGACGGGGATGTAGAATTTGGGGATGGCGGTGAGGACGATGCGGTTGGTATAGAGGCGGCTAGCGTAGATGAAGACGATGAGGAGGCCGGTGAGGAGGTAGACGCCGGCGACGATGAAGATGTTGGCGATGTTCGTGTTGAAGCGGGAGAGGGAGGGGGGTTTACGGATGGATTGGTAGATGAGGTCGCCGGGGATGACGGCGGAGAGGACGAAGATGACGAAGAAGAGGAGGGTGTAGGTGGTCGAGTACCAGATGCGGAAGAACGGGATGCGTGGTAATCGGATGTGTGGGAATCGCATGTTTGTTGCGCTATCGTGCCGCTATATCTATATCGTATGCATGGTAGTATTAATTGCTAGAGGATGGAACGGTGTCCTCTCGTTTGGACTGATCTCCGCCATCGAATTGAACACAAGAAGTGTCCAGGCCACTACCGATGTGACATTGGGGACCAGCGATGGAAATTAAGAGAGCACCTATAAGTGATGGTTAGGATGGATGTTCCGCCTGGAGTGAGGTCATTCTTGATTATTTACGTAGTTAAATCACGGACCCCTAACTACAGATAGCGCTGAACTTGTCCCAGACATGAAATCCTAATTACCACTTTCACCTATTTTTCCAACGCCGCAAACGATCGGCTGAGCACGATTAACAGCAGGGTTAGTTATTGATATTCCCGTATTTAGGCCTATACATGACAAATCATGTCTTACAGTGTTACAGTGATCCTCTGCTGGTTCATAACTAGTATTGATTTCTAAGCTGTCCGACAGCGATAGCGGCTTATCTCACATCAGGAATTGGGTACCTGAGTTAAGAATGAAGGAAGTAGGATTCCAGGACAAAAGTACCGGTATTACAACGTTTCTCTGATCTAGAGGTTTCCATTCCAGAGTCTCATGAAGCGTGCCATCAGTCAAGCTACCTACCTATTCCCATGAACAAAGGAGCTGTCTGTTACACTTATCCTGCCGCAATACCACCTTCTTCAAGTTGATCGGAATATTAGACCCCCAGCGATCACCAAGGGGATATACGCACTTTTGCGCTTCCTCAAGTCGAGAGATTTCAAAGCACATTGCGACGAGAACCGACGTCTGCCAAATCAACCAAAATGGCAATCATCTCGAAAGGCGATGGATATATCATCCGCAACCCCGACAACGTGGAAGAAGTCCAAGCGCTCTTCTGGCCGTTTATGAATGAGTTAGGCTGGGTAAGCCCGTCCTGATAACCCCAAAACAACCTCCACTCAACCACACAGAACCGCTCGAAACTCGATGGACTCACCCACTACGTAACCGCCGGCGCCGCGTCCTGGTTCCTTCTCTGCCCCACCGACTCCCCCAAACCCGAAGGCTTCATCTGCGCCTTCACCTCCGCGAATGCCACCGGCTGGATCGGCTTCTTCTGCATCAACGCGCCCTATCGCGGCCGCGGGTGGGGCACGCCACTCTTCCAGGCCAGTTTGGATCTGTTCAAAGCGAGAGGCATGGAGTTTGTCGGGCTGGACGCCGTGGAGCAGCAGGTGGGGACGTATACGCGGCGGGGATTCGTCGACGTGGCGCGGGTGCGGACGATGATTCGGCCGGCGTTCGCGGAGATGCCGCTGGAGGCACCGAGGGGTAGGACCGTGGTTGGGGAGCGGCTGGTGGATGTACGGGAGATCGCGAAGGAGGCCCTGGTGGGGAGCGATTTTAAACATACGGGGATGGAGCGGCGGAGTCTGTGGACGGACGACGCGCTATTCCATCGGACGGACACAACGGGGTTCGCGATCGTCGGCGCGGACGGAGGGAGATTGCGGGGGTGGATTCTCTCCCGGACGTCCATCACGGGCCATCGGATCGGGCCATTGTATGCGGAGTCGGCGCGGCTGGCGTCCGTCCTGGTGCACGCAGTGCTGGAGAACTTGCAGCGCGCGGAGGGGGACTTCGCGGCGGAGATTCCTGTGGACAATATAGCGGCGCAGTCGGCCTTCGAGCACGCAGGATTTGCGGTGGGGGGGCCAGATATGCATTGCATGTGGCTCGATGGAAAGGTGCCGGAGGAACAGAAACCTGGGGGGAAGGCGGCGACGTGCGCGTATGCATGGTTTGATGCTGGTCAGGGGTAAGGGGTACAACGGGATGGTCTATGAGCGCTGGGAATATACGGCTGTAGTTCCCAATAAAATTTTGTTTCGTGCTAACTATTGTACTATACACAATAGTAAGGTTATATACAATGGACTATTGAAATTCGAGGTAAGGAATAATATCCTACCATTGACGCACAACACGGGGACTATCATCAGAACGAATGACGTCGTCTGAACGAGCAACAGGGGTGGCCGCATCATCCATCGATCATCACGATCCCTCAGATTTGATGCATTCCACCAATATACCATCCAACGTCATGATGACTCCGGGCCCCTCAACCTCGTCTATCTATATCATGAAGTCCTCCACAACAACTCGATCTAAATGGCTGACCTCCCACTCACTTCTCCCCGCACCACCATAACCCAACCCACCCACCAACCCAATCCACCTCACGACCCATCACCATAACCACCATGGCCGCCTCCCGCGCCGCCTACGCCGCCGAGAAAACCCTCGGCCACACCGGCGACCCCATCACCGCCCAAGACATCAGCAAACCCCCCGCCACCACCCCACACACCTCCATGTGCGCCCTCACCTGGCAAGGCAAAAACCATGTCGCCATGCGCACCGTCCCGCAACCCACCCTCCTCGAGCCCACCGACGTGATCCTCCGCGTCACCGGCAGTACGGTCTGCGGCAGCGATCTGCACCTCCTGCATGGCGTCGTGATCGAGCTATCGCCGGGGGATATCCTGGGACATGAGTTCTGCGGGGTGGTGGACGCGGTGGGATCGGCGGTGAAGAACGTCGGGGCGGGCGATCGCGTGGTGGCGAGTTTTCAGATCGCGTGCGGGGAGTGTTGGTATTGTGAGAGGAAGTTGAGCAGCCAGTGCGAGCGGACGAGTGGGAATCGGGCGCAGCGGACGATGTATGGGGGAAGGACGGCGGGGATATTTGGGTATAGTCATTTCACCGGGGGGTTTGCGGGCGGGCAGGCGGAATATGTGCGGGTGCCGTTGGGAGACGTGAACCTGTTGAAATTACCGGATGATGTGCCGGATGAGAAAGGTTCGTGATTCCCCCTAGCTCGGGCCGATTCTACGCCATCCAGTGGGATCGGTGGGATCAGATCAGTGGTATCAGATCAGTGGGATCAGTAAGGGAGTACTGACGATGACCTCCCAGGCCTCTACCTCTCCGACGTCCTCTGCACCGCCTGGCACGCCGTCGTCGACACCGGTGTCACCAAAGACGACGTCGTCGCCATCTGGGGTGCCGGCCCCATCGGGCAAATGAGCGCCGACTTCGCCTTCCACCACGGCGCCGCCCGCGTCATCCTCATCGACCGCAACTGGCGGCTCGCCTTCTGTCAATCCCAGCAGCCACGCCTCGAGACGCTGAACTACGCGGAGCTGCCGGCGGGGACGAGCGTCACGGAGCGGTTGAAGGAGATGACGGGGGGGCGGGGACCGGATGTGGGGCTGGAGTGCGTGGCGGGGGAGTATGCGAAGGGGTGGGTGCATGCGGTGGAAATGGCGGTGGGGGCGGAGACAGATTCGTCGGAGGTGTTGAATGAGATGATTACAAGCGTGCGGAACTATGGACGGGTCGGCGTGACGGGGGTGTATGTTGGATTCGTACGTTCATCGCTCGGATCAACAGACAACACAAATCACAAACCACTAACAAATAACAGACGAATCACTTCAATATCGGCTCGCTCATGGAGAGGGGCATCCGGCTCATCGGGAACGGGCAGGCGCCCGTGCATAAGTACTGGGAGGAGCTGCTGGAGAAGGTTCGGTCCGGAGAAATCGATCCGCTGCGGATGGTGACGCATCGGGTGCGGGTGGAGGATCTGGACAAGGTGTACGGGCAGTTCGAGAAGAAGGCGGACGGTATGCAGAAGGTGTTTGCGGAGACGCGGTTCTCCGCGCCGAGGGCGGAGGGAAGTCCAGAGTTGACGAGGTATTAGATGTAAGGATGATGAGAAGAGTCAGCTCTGTGCATGATAATGAAAACATGGTGAATTCATATATAATGCTAGATTCATATCGAGCCACATGGGCTCGAGCCGTCATTACTCTACAACAAACTTCCATCAACAAGATATTCGCTCGCAGTCCGAAATAACACAATATATTGCCCGACGCTTGAGAGGCATGGTGTAAAAAGGCCCCCAAAGGCCATGCGCCACGCTATGCAAAGTTCCCCGACCTTTCACAACCCACGCGCCATCATCGTCACCGTCGTCCAGAGAGTATTTACGGACGGTTGGACGGATATGCACAGAAACAGAAACTGGAAAGGTAACCGCAAGGGTTATACCTTTGAACCGCCTAGTTCCGATCGTCGCACGCGGACTGGTAATGTCCACGGTCGTTCGCAAATAGTCTATCATCGAATCAGCCGAGTTCTCGAAAGCTAAACCAGTCGACGGCGACTCACCTCTCCTTCCGAGAAACCCCAGAAATAGATACCCTCAGCGATGATATAGTAGATCGCGGGATTTGTCCCCTGGTACAACAAGATCGACGCCAAGGCATACAGCGGGATTATAATCAACCTCAGCTCGATGCTCCGATGGAGCGACGTCCCGGCGATGTACTTCAGCGGCCACTCGAGGGCGAGGGCGGAGACGGCGAAGATGAGGTTGATGACCTGCAGGAAGGGGATCGGGGTGACGGCGCGGTCAAGGTTGTGGGAGAGGAAGTCCCAGAAGATTTTGGGCCAGAAGAAGGCTTCGAGGGCGGCGGCGAGTTGGTCTGGGGGGTTAGTGGGTGGATTGGAGGGGGATGGGGGAGCTTACAGGCTGCGGCTGTGAGGACGATGAGGCGGGCCCAGTGATTCTTTATTAGGCGACCCATGATGGTTTGAATATCAGTTGATGATTAGGTAGGCTCGTATGCCGATTGGGAGAGGTTGGTTCGGGTGTGATATATCTCGAGATGCTAGCTTCCTCCAACGAGTGACGCAGCCAACCGATGATGAGCAGGAGAGCAAGATATCACCCAAAGATCGGACCCGGCCGCAACAGCGAAAAGCGAGATGCAAGAAAGAAGGGCTTCACTCCACCAGGGCAGTTCCACGCTGCACGGTCAACGCTCAACGAAAGTACGAAGAGCGGAGAACTAAGCACAAGCGCACACGGGTAGAGCCTGGTATATGTAAACCCCGAATTGCATCGTCCAGCCTGGGCACTAGCACCCAGACTCCATCGCCGTCCGCGCTGGAACGGTGCGGGGTGCCGAGTTCAGGATTTGTGGGCGTGATCGAACCTTGCCGTGGGGAGCGATCTGTGCCGGGTGGGGATACGGCGTGTTCGAGGAAAATTGGATGGGTTCGTGGGCGAGGTGGTTAGCGGCGGTGGGTGTCGGAAGTGCGTTACGGGTGGAGATGGGAACGAAGAAATGGTCGGTCTAAGGGGCGCTGTCAAAGCGTGGTTTCTGTCGCTTCCTTGCCGTATATAGGGATCTGGAATGGGATCGAAGACTAATTTTAAGAGAGGCGAAGGATCGACGAGGAGGCGGAAGTATCAAGGCGTCCACGGGGAGGAATGGTAGTAGCGACGTGAGTAATAGGCGAGGAGAAATTGGTCGACGCCGTTTGAGGTCGCGTTTGAGGTCGCTTGACTTCGATTTCCTTCTCTTACTTCGCTCCGAAATTAGCAGTCAAGCGGCGGTTATGCGGCGGACATCGTGGCGAGTCGATGGCTAATTGCGGGATGGATTCAATGGAGGCGATGTCTTCTCGGTGGGGAATGTTCGCTGACAGGAGGTTCAGAGGTGAGGCAGTGAAAGAGGCAGAAATACGAATCTGCAACTCGAGGTGTCGCGGATTGTGGTGTGAGGGAGTGGCGGGTAGGAGGAGGTATTTCATGCGATTCTCTACCAGTGGGAAGTGGACGAGCGGGGGAGACTCGTATCAATCTTTACGATAGCAGGATATCGAAGCGGACCAAGTCGGATAGAAGCATGAAGTTAGTTGACGATAGCTCGAAAGGAACCTCTTGGGTGATGTGATAAGTGGTTCCACTGACATTCGAGCAAGAGACATCACCAGAGTCTGCCGCCCTCCTCCCACCGGGTTCATGGTGTGGACGAGAAGCTCACTGTGAAATCAGTCAATCAGTGCAAGACATGGGGTTGGGGAGGGGAATCTGGGTGCATGTGGAGTCCATGCATGGTGGGCGGCTACAGGCACGGCCCTCCAGCCAATCCCAGCCCGAGGATCCGTGATTCTCATCGATCGACCGGGGTATTAGCTCCGGGAAGAGCCAAGGGCCGGGGTCGTTATAAGGGTATCGCAGGGACATGCCTACCCAAAAGAGCTAAAGGGAGGTGAACCGTGCCAGGGTGGAAGCGCCAGGGAAGGCGCAAGGTGATACACGAGATGATTGGTGTTTGTCTCATCCATTGCCTCATATTCTCATTTATCATTCTATCGTTGGGCACTTGCTGGCTCAACTTGTTGTGCCCCGTGGTCGGTTGGATTGTCCGGATATTACAATGGTATCCAGGACATCAATAGGAGTTTATCATGCGGCAATCGGATGGTTCGGAACCAGCAATTGGGTCGGCCACGAGGCGCGCACGTTGGAATTGACTGGCAGGAAATGGAGGGGTGGCGCTTAGCCGTACCAGATTACCGCCGTGGCATCAGTCAACCAGTTGCGGCTCCAGGAAGTGTTTGAGGATCTTCTGGAGCAGTATATGGACAGTGGACAGATATTCCCGCTCGCTTCAATGACATGGAATATGGAGGATAGATATTAGTGCGAATCCAATTATCAAATCCTGTACACCGAGAGTTCGTAATGCGCATGAAGTGTGAAATGTGAAATGTGAAATGTAAATGTGAATTGTGAACCAAATGGAGCTTGCAGGGGGCCTGACCGCCCAAGGCCGCCCCTCGATTCGGACCGTCACCTTCGGCTTCGCTTCCTCCCTCCCACAGCTACACACCATCACCAACTCACCATCCCACCCTCCCACCATCTTTCCATCTCCCATCTAGATCTCCAACCAGAATGGATATCCCGGCGCCGTGGATGCCCTCTTCTTCAACCCACTGATACGGTCTTGATTATCACATATGGATCACCTTTTATCCCGGCTGCTTTGCTGATTGCGACTCGGATACTCCGTATTCGTGCTACATTGAATTCCTTGAGTGAGCCCTAAATGCGTCACCAATCCCCAGCCACCAGTTTTCCGCATGTCAGATCGACCGCAAGTCGAGCGGGGTTGTCGCTCTTGGCGTGATGAGTTTAGCAATATCCTTCGAAGCGAAGTCTGAATTTCTTAGTTCAAATCTTACTTGATCTTTGGCGTGTCCTCGGCGTTGACTTCGATCGTAACATTTGTCAATTAGATTTTGGTAATTTGGCAACACGCCCGTCGAGAGTGATGTTTGGGCTGTGGAGGATGTCAGTGAACCCGATTTTACTTTCCGTCGTACCCACCCAGAGCGCCGAGTCGCTTCATGTCGGCTCATTGGAAAAGTCCCTCGAAGTACAACAGGTTCCGAACCAGCACAATGCAAGGGCATTACGAGAGCTGAATACCAAGTGTGACCATCCACAACCTTCCAGGACTGACAAGCCGGGGCGTTGGGTAGTCTGTTTTCGGGCGGTTGCAGCACCATGCAGATTGGTTGGACCTTGCATGCTCCGGGTCGCACGTCACCAATCCGTTGGTGACCAGTCCTTGTCGCTGCAGAACCATGTGCGAGCAAAAATAGCTCCTCTATCTTCCTGGAGACTGGACGAGACACGGAAACTCTGGGAGAATCGACTGAGAACAATGGTCTCCGATTCGATATCTCAACGAATTGGTTATTCTGGAAATGTCAGTCGGTGATATCCTGACTTGCATATTCCGTACTATTCGCCTTGGTCTTTGATACCCCTCCTCGCTACTCCTGACTCGCTTTAGGTTTTGAGGATCCCGATTAGTGTGGTGGATTTCACGGGAAGATCCCAGTCGGTACATCGGGTGGTCCCTCGCTTCTCCATAGTCCACACTTGGACATGCGAACGCCCATCGCCAACATTTCTGCATCACTACCGTATCCTTCCACACTGTATCTTCCCTTCCATTCCTTCCGCCTCACGATGTGCCTCAATCGCCCGCAATGAGCTCGCCGCGCACTGCCATCCCCGGGCTACCTATCCACACCGCCGAAAGCACCTCTGCGCCCCGCCTTCCGCTGACAGCCCACCAGCGTTTCAGTCAGGCGGACTTCTGACGGCTGTACGTCTCAGATCCGACATCCCATACCAACGCCCCCCCTTCGCCCTGGATCGCCGCACAGCGCGATTTGCGCCGCACACTTTGAAAGAATTAAAGGATTGCTGGAAGAGGTTGGCGGACGATTGACGCTGGGATTAGGAGCTGGAACGGGAGAAATACCTTTATCAGGAACCGTGTCCTGTTACTTCATTCGAAACTCATCTGGGAATATCGGATTCCGCGCCTTAGATCCAAATCGCATTTCCACCGTCGAGTTAAAATCAGACGGACTTCCTTCATACATTTCCGAATACTCCACCGAAGCATTGTATCACGATAATCCCGCACCACATCTCCCTGACCCCTCAGACTCTGTCCCAGTCCGATACACATCTGAGACAACCTCGATCAGACCGCCCTACCTGCATGGTTGAACTTCTCAACTAGTACATGGGAAAGCAACACGTCAAACCCAACCCCCGGGACCCATTACTCGAGAGAATTCACACTGCTGTTAACGAGTGTCGGCAGTTTCAGACCGAGGACTAGGTGAAGGCGAACTACAGAAGTCGTCGGCCACCGGGATCTCGCAGCTCTGGTCCCGAGCTGCCTCAAACAATTACATCTGAAAAAGGAATTGCATTCCTCTCTTCACAAAGCAGTCCAATACGCAGCGCAGGCGATCCGCGACTGATCCAAATTTACAATTTCCTCATAACTCATCCACCGCACATACCTACCGCTCGTCCACTCTAGGGCATTCGCAGGTTTCTCCCTCATCTCTACTTTCATTCCTAGATCTGGCTGGCCGGTGACCTTTCCTTTTTACCATCTGCAGGTCTAATTGTCGCTCTTTTTTTGCGCTGGGTACACCTGTCGGCGTTCCCTTCCGTACGATAATCTCTTGGAAACGACTTTGCATTTTGTTAGCTACTCGTTACGAATCACGGGGTTGGTTGTATATACCCCTCACGGACGACATCTCTTTCTTCTCGGGGTTTGATTGCGTATTCGAAGGAATCGGACGATAGCTTCCTTGCTTCGCCTCAGTACCTCTAGCACCTCAGAAGTCATCCCGCTGGTTTACTTTGGATAAAGGGAGACCTATCGTTGCAAAATGGGTCAAACGGAGCGGACGTTCTGGCAGAAGCATTTCACGGCGCGGAAGTTGATTTTCTACCTCGCTTTCCATGGACTTCATTGGGCGCTTTTTGCCGTTGGATGGTGAGTGTCCCAGAGCGCAACCCGACCAGATGACGCGATCCGATACTAACTGCTATGTCCAGGTGGAAGCAGCAAAGTGATGCCCGTCTCGCGGGGTTGAACACGCTCACGTACTCGGTGTGGTTCTCGCGAGGAGCCGGGTTGGTTCTGTCGGTCGATACGATGATCATTCTGTTACCCATGTGTCGGACGATCCTCCGATACGTTCGACCGAAAATTCGATGGCTTCCGCTAGATGAATCGCAATGGTTCCATCGGCAGGTGGCCTATCAGCTGCTGTGGTGGACGATGGTTCATGTCGCCAGTCATTACGTCAAGTAGGTAACGAGTGCTGTGCTGCCAGGTCAATACTAACGTGTGATTCAGCTTCATCAACGTAGAGAAGGCGCAGCTCCGCCCGGAACTGGCGCTGCAGATTCATTATACCCAGGCGGGTGGGATTACCGGGCATATCATGCTGCTGTGCATGCTCTTGATGTACACTACCGCTCATCACCGGGTACGACAGCAGTCGTATGAGACGTTTTGGTATGCGCATCACCTCTTCATCCCGTTCCTCCTGGGCATGTATACGCATGCGACCGGATGCTTCGTGCGTGACACGACGGATCCTTATAGCCCGTTTGCTGGTGCCAATTTCTGGAATCATTGCATTGGATACGAGGGCTGGCGATGGGAGTTAGTCGGGGGCGGTTTATACCTGCTCGAGCGGATCTACCGTGAAATCCGCGCCCGGCAAGCGACGGAGATCGTTAAGGTCGTCAAGCATCCATACGGTAAGACCTACCTTCCCTACTCAGCGGAATCCACTAACCGCCCCAGACGCCGTCGAGATCCAATTCCGCAAACCCTCGATGCACTACAAACCCGGCCAATGGCTCTTCCTCAACTGCCCTTCCATCTCCTACTACCAATGGCACCCCTTCACCATCACCAGCTGCCCCGTCGACCCCTCCGGCATGTATGAAGTGGCCCTCCAAGCCGGGCAGACGATGCCGCAGATCCGCATCGACGGCCCGTACGGCGCGCCCGCCGAGGACGTGTTCTCCAACGAGATCGCCGTGCTCATCGGCACCGGCATCGGCGTCACCCCATGGGCGTCAATCCTCAAGAACATCTACCACCTCCGCCAGGGCCCCAACCCGCCGCGCCGCCTCCGCCGCGTCGAGTTCATCTGGGTGTGCAAGGACACCGCGTCCTTCGAGTGGTTCCAGGCGCTGCTCTCCAGCCTCGAGGCGCAGAGCATGGGCGCCGCGGGCGACGGGCAGGACGACTTCCTGCGCATCCATACGTACCTGACGCAGCGGCTGGACGTGGACGCGGCGCAGAATATCGTGCTGAACAGCGTGGGGCAGGCGAAAGATCCGCTGACGGAGCTGCGGAGTCGGACGAACTTTGGGCGGCCGGACTTTCCGCGCTTGTTGACGGGGCTAAGGGATGGGATTGTGGAGGGGAGTTATATGCGGGATTTGGGGGGGAGGGGGCTCGAGGCGACGTTAAGGACAGAGGTGGGGGTGTATTTCTGCGGGCCGAGCGTGGCGGCGAGGGATATCAAGCGGGCGTGTCAGGAGGCGGATTGTCGGGAGGTGAAGTTTAAGTTTTGGAAGGAACATTTCTAGCGGTGGTTATGATATGATGTCTATAGGTTACTACACTTGTTTTAGCTTTGGAAGCGAAATGTGAATGGCAATTAATCTGTTCACCTATTGTAAGTTGTAACGATGTATAAGGGTTAATCCAGCCAATCTGACTGGCGCTTCCCCCACCATAAGCATCAGTAGGAGCTTCCATGTCCCTTTCACGTGCCCCTCCCTGTTTCTACTCTAATTATGTTCAGCACCAAGGGTGGTGGGGGGAAATGGGGGAGAATGGGAGAGGGTCGTCGTGGGGGATCCGAAGGAATATGGCTGTATCACATGCTGCTCCTCTCTCACTCACAGTTAGATCGAATCCCTCCCTCCTTCTTACCGGCAATACATACTATTAAAACCGTCTATAGTGGAATTCTCACATGCAAAGAACGAAAGCTAGATGCTATCCAACCAACCATAGTCCATCATCCGCCCTGGATTACCTTCCGTCTCATCCTGTCTTTTCCTACCCTACCCTATCTCTCCTACGATCTATCCTTACACCATCCGGTCCGATATTTCTTTCGACCTCCCACCGGCCATCCATCCTACCTACATCCGTTCCGTTTGCAGGCCTCAAAATCCATCCGCGATCGAGCAGAGCCATCCGCGCTGACGAACCCGCTGGAACGGACCCTCTTGCACATGCAAACCTAGTCGGTCGTCGTTATTGAAACTGGAGGATTGAACTATCACGAGCCGCCAAGACATCCAACACGGCCTGGGTGAATCTGACGCCGGTTTCGCTCATCACCACGAATTTCCACCGGGTCAAAATACTGGACGAGGAAGACATCAGTTGCTCAGTACTGGAACATCCAGAAGCGAGGCCGTGTATGGGCGACACCGAGCCCGCAGAGCCACATCCTTCTGCAAAGCGGTGCGGTTGACATATCTAAACCGCAACGATGGAGCTACAACAACCACGGAGTCGTCCTCCGTCCTACTCGCAATCGCAATCACCACGCCAGCCATTTGCGTCAACCTCCCCTCCACAACCGACGCAGACAGATCGTTCGACCCTCGACTTCCCCGCCGTGCCACGCCACAAGCCGTCGACATCGCTCAACCTGCCCGATCTAAAATCCTTGGGCCTCCCGCCCTCGAAGCGCGACGAGCGGCTATCGGGTAGCGGCTTCAATGGCGGAGCGTATGGCTCCGCGCTGCCGCACTCCGCCTGGACGAACCCATCGATGATGCATCCGGGCCACTTCCCACGGGTACCAGCGACCGTCCCCGGATCGCAGAGCGCGATGACAAGTCCGCGGGAGAGCGTGCTGAGCTACGACGACCCGGCGCATACGCACAGCCACGCGGCGCAAGGCGCCGGCATGCGGAGGCAGACGAGCACCAGCACCACCGGCAGCGTGAACAATACGCTAAACACCATCTCCAACCTGTCGATGGACGATCCGGATGTGCGGATGGCGGCGGAGGCGCTCAGTGGGCTGGGGAATCCGGATTTCTTTAGGGGGAGGACCGGGAGTCCGCATGTGGCCCGCGCGAGCATGTCCTCCGCCGGGGCATCACAACCGCTCCCAATGACGCCAGCCAGCGTCCCGCAGCATTCGCCGCCGGCGGTATATTCTCCGAACGCGTCGTCGAACGCCACGGTGGATGTCGACGAGGCCTCGGAGCCGCTGCTCACCCTGTTGACGTCTTCCCACCCCCTCCTTTCCTCCGCCATCACCGGTTCGATCACCGCATATGCCACGAGCAAACACTACTCCCCGTCCTTCATCCGCTCGCAAGTCGAACGCGTCGAACGCGCCGTCAATTCCGTCGGCAGCCCGGTGGTACAGACCGTCGGCTCCGTATCCCGCCGCACCGGTGTCGAGGGTGCCGTCCGGAAGTACTTGAAAGACACGGCCAAAGCGCGGCGGAAGGACGGTGACGCGGACGTACGAGCCAACGGTCCGGATGGCAAACGGAGACGCGTGATGTCCCTCGAAAGCAGCGCGTCCGACGTGGCGCAGGCGGAATCTCTCGTCGACATCGAAAAAGCTCTCAGCACGCCCGCCACGCCCGCGACCGCGGAGTTCAACATACCGCAAATCCGCAACAGCAGCCAAGCCAGCCTCGCAAGCCGCAGCGACCACGACCGCGAATCGCTCCCTCCCTACGATGAGGAGCACCGCAGCCCGAACTATGAGACTCTCGACCCCCACCCCGAACACCCGTCCGAAAAGCAGATGTTAGCCCCACCCGGCCAATCCGAGCGGGACCGACAACCGCGACACCCGCAGACCTGGAGCACGCAACTCATGATGACCACCAGTGGCCTCGGCGTCGCCCTTTCCGATTCCAGCCTCACCAGCCTCCGTTACTGCCTCGACCTCCTCGCCACCGCCACTGAGCGCATCGCTAGCGTCATGAGCGCCCTCGCTCTCCTCGTCGGCAAATTCGACCCCTCCTCTTCCTCTTCACAACAACAACAACAACCACCAACAAACCACTCCCGATCCTACTCCTCCCACTCCGCACACGATCGTGTCGCCGCCGACGCTACCCAGCTCGCCGCGCGCCTCCACTCCCTCACCGACGACTTGTTCGCGACCCTCCGCCACGTCACCCACGCCGTATCGCGATACGCCGGCGGCGCGTTGCCGGAGAACGCCGGCGCGCTGGTGCGGAGACAGCTGCTCTCCCTCCCCGGCCGGTGGCAGATGGCGGGCGAAGAAACGGGGACGACAGCGGGCGCACAGGATGGGGAGCGCGCGACGCCGCGGCAGGGCGCGGGGGACGAGGGGGCGGTGCGGCATGCGACGCGGGTGTTGGCGTTTGGGCGGGAGGCGCTAGAGATGTTGAGTCAGGTGGCGTTGGTGGTGGAGGGGACAGTGAGGAGTGCGGAGGCGTGGTTGGGGAGTATTGGGCGGGGAACGAGGGGGGAGGGGAGTGCGAGGGCGGGGACGGTGGGGAGGGAAAGGAAGGGGATTGAGGTGGAGGTGAAGGAGGTGGAGGTAATGATGAAGGAGAATGGGGGGTAGTATAGGAGTCGGGTGAAACTCGCGATATGAAAAGTGATGAACGGAGTCCCGGGGTTATATCTGTATTTGCCTTCGTTCGACGCGAACATCCGTCGCGTCGCGTCTGCATTGGTTGGAATTGCGATGAACTAGGTATGCGGTGATTGGGAACGGATGCCCGGCTGAAGACTGAGGGGTATAGATACCATCTGATTCTTATGTACCTTAGTTAGGGTCGTGGGGATGTATGCGTGGGCGACGGACACGAAATAGAATTTAGCTCAAGGAGCAAGCTTGAAGTTTATACATACGTCGTTGTGACGCTACTCTTAGGTGCTATAAGCGGTTTCCATGTCAGATACCGTCAGCTGCTCCGCTCTGGCTAGTAGCCCCATTCTATATGAATCGAAGACCTTTGTATGAGCTCCATATCCCAACCCTTCCTATCCCCCTACGCGCCAGGGTCCCCTATACGATTGACACAAGCGACACACACCATCAGAATCGTCCATCCCATCCCCGCCTCACAACGCCACCACTACCGCTCCGGACACCGCGCCTTAACATGCCCCTTCCTCCCACATTTAAAACATCCTCCACTCGCGCTCCCCTGCCCAGGCGAATTCGAGTGGCCCGAGCCCGCTCCCCTTCCGGACCCGAACCCGCCCGAGCGCTTCGCGGCGCCGCCGGAGGAGATGGATTTGACGCGGTGGAGTGACGGTTCTTCGGGGCGGGGGCGGGAGGGTGGGGCGTTGGAGCGAGAGTGGCGCGGTTCCCGGTCGTCTTCCTCTTCGCCGGAGGAGGAGGTGGAGTCGGTGTCGGAGGATAGGTCGTCGTCGGGGGCGTGGTATTCTGGTTTTGGCTGCGGGGGAAATTAGTAAGATCGGATGTTGGGAGAAGGGAAACGTGCCAAGGTCGTATGGAAGATCCATCGTCATATGACCTTCAACGAAGAATAGGGTGTCCACATACCTTTTCCTCCTTCTTCCGCTGAAAATTCCCATACGTCCTCCTTCCCACCGCCACTTTCTTCCTCCCCGTCCGTACCCCTTCCCCCTCACCCACTTCACCCTCTTCCCCCTCCTCATCCTCCTCCCTCCCCTCCCCCCCATCCTCCCCATCAATCGCTGCAAACCCCACCTTCCTTACCTTCATCCCCCCTTCTCCTCCGCTCTCCCCGCCCTCTCGCGGCGCCACGCTCAGCACCCACTGCGTCTCGCCCGAGAACTGTGCTTGGTGCTCGAGGAACTGGTCGCGGGAGGCGGAGGGAGGAAGGGCGTAGGTGGAGGAGGGCGTGGATGGAGTGGGGCAGGTGGATAGGCGTTGGCGTTTGCTGGGGGGTTCGGCGGGGGTGGAAGGGGGGGTGCCGGTGGCGCGTTGCATGAACTGGTGAGTTCGTTAGTTGTTGCGCTGGGGAGGGAGAGGGTGTTCAGTAGAAGAGCGGGAGTGGAGGGCGTACCTTCATGTTCATGAGTCGCGAGGACATGAGCTTTGGGTCGGTCGTTGGGGTCGCCATTATTGAGGTGAAGGTAATCTGTATGCTGCTGGCAGCTTTCCGTTGGATATTAGTGAGAGGCGTGGAAAGAATACCTGTACTGTCGCAGAATCCAAAGCTAGAGAATGGAATGATGAAGATTGAGATGCGATGTACGGATACAAGGGTTACCGATTGGGTTTAGCGTCACATCGATTCACAATTCACGACCGAGTTCGATATAAATGGCTCGCATCTGTCATCATATTATCATAAGGGAAATGCTTCATATACATCCCATTCATGTAACCTAGGAATCCTGTGTTCTGATTGATCTATTAAAAAAAGTACTCATCGCGAAGACCTCGTTTTGGGCCACTTTCTCGCAGGAACAGATCTTGTTGGTTCTATAAACCAGCTATGTATCAGTTACAGTGACAAGCAGTATCGGTTTCTGGTTTCACGCTTCTAGCTTCGATTTCTTCTTGGCGCACAGTCCTCCTGACAAGAGAATATCCTACATCGTATTAGTGCATTGCAGCAGGGCTGGGACTCTCTCTTTGTCTGCTTCGAGTGCTGCGCCATCCTCTGCGCCACGATCGCTTTTGCACCATCCCACCGGTCCTTGAGTACACGGTGCCAACACAACTACTGTAGAAGCAGTGTTTTCCTTTTTTCATCACGCTATCCCACGTATTACCGCTATGTCGGAGCCAGGAAGGAAGTCGTGCTCGAAGACTGGCTCGCCAGCACCTCTCATATTGGCTAAGACGGCCTGTCCGAAGTGCCATCGCAGCAGTTGATCAACGGGCCGTTGAGGATTATCAAGAAGCTTTCGGTCAAGATGCTTTCCAGCAAGGCCTTTCCCATCATGGCGGAAGAATACAACCTTGTAATTATCCTAAAATATTATTAGCAGGCTAAATCTTCCTTGAATCGAGGTATTCATACGTCAGGGTTGATCGAGAAGCTATAGCTATCAAATAACTGGTGTATATCGCTTCAAAGTAACATGCCGTTCTGCACTGAGTTGATGGTTCCTCCTTTGTCCGGTAGAATTGTAATCCAGGGATTGTAGCTGTAAGCCTCCCAATGGTCTTCGTAGGCTATTGGAAAGATGTGTGCGGCCTCAAAGCCATCCCAGTAGTCGAATTGTGCGTCAACTGCAACCTCCCCAAATACAACGCATCGACGATCCCGTGAGCGGACGGTATCGCGGAAAGACTGAGTACGAGTTCCACTAGCATGAAATATTATACGGACTAGCCACGACTCGTTGTTAACCGAGAAAGAACCTATATTCGGAGCAAAGATTAGCCTGGGTATGATAAGATGGCTGTACATTTATCAGCGGCGTGAATGTAGTAATTCCCTGGCCGAAGCGGGTCGTTAGTCTTTTGGATCTTAGTACTTTATAATCTTTATTCGTTTTGTAGTTCGAAAGCAGTTCTAAACAAGACGATAATCTCCACCATCGAGTAGAAGTTGGCATTCGTGACGCCATTTGTAAGGATTAGACCACCGAGAACAGTAGTGCGGTCATTGACATCGTAGATATGGACGTCGCGACCTAGTGACCGATTGCGTGGAGGCATTATATAACTTTGCGGCGGATTCAGAGGATCGGGGTTCTGGAGGGCGTCGCAGACGTTTTCGGGGACGACGACATGATAGGCGCTTAAGATGTAGACGTCACATGAGGATAGCAGGTGGCAGGTGAAAACTTCAAGTAGTAATTGCAAGAGCTCGAAATGACAGTTCAAATTGAAGCTTGAGGCTTCAAAAAGTGTGAGGTTCCCGGTCACATAGGTCCCAGTTGAGGGAAAATAACCTACAAAACCCCTTCAAAAGACCTGCGAAATTCCTGGACATTTTCCCTACAGATTTATTTGTGCCGGAGAATGGCCTAAAGATGACAATATTCCCCCTGGGTAATAGCAGGCCGCTTCCCGAGCCTCTATCTAGACACGATGAAGCATTGTGTTCACTGTGCCGATGGGTTCGGAGAGCTAACCTCCATCAAAACTGCTAACTGCAGCGTCATGGTCACTGCGCTCAAAACATGATTTGTCGGTTGTCCTGTGTGTAGGCACTAGGCAGGGGCTACGTAGAAAGGATACCTGTTGTGGTGGCCGATAGGATTGTTTCATTGGCATTGAAATCAACAGGGACATCTTGCAACAAGTTGCCCGGGTGCCCGGGTCTGTTTCGTGAGGCTAGTACGGTACTGGACTGTGATACGTAAAAGGGTATTTGGGTTAAGGAGCCTGATTGGGCTCGGTCAGCATGGGATGAGGAGCCCATTTAGGTGAAAGGCTGTTTGGGGCGACGGCCAGTTTGACCCGACCATAAGTTCTTGCCTCTTATATATACGGAATACCTCGAGAAATGGATATGCTTTTTATTATTCTTCTATTCCTATCTAGCGGCAAATCGTAGTACTGCGCAAAGGGAATTGAGTTTGGTTGGTGAGAGGGTTTAACCCCTGAGAACAACTTGCTGGGTATGTTCCCTATTGATCCCATCTGCATCTAATTATCGTATCGATCCTGGAGCTGGCGGGACAGAACGCTGAGGGTTGAACCTAAGTTTGTGGGGTGGGACGGACTAACTATCACACCCGGCCGAAATGGGCTCCCATTATTGGAGCTTCAGCCCTGCCAAGCACCGTCGACTGTGGAGAGCCCAGCATGATCAACGCTGGGCTGCTTCTTTTGATCCTTTTAGTGGGTCGTACCGATCCACTTGACGTAATATTGTGGGCATCTCTGCAATAAATTTCTGCATGATACATTTCAGGATCCGGTTAGAAATCCATGCTCCCTGTCATGTTTACGGCTTGAGTACCCTCAACATGTGTAAAATCTCGTATTTATCCTGTCGGATTCTTCTTTTTGAAGTCCAGGTTCCGTCTGTTCTTTAATTATTACTGAGTCCGTCCTTCTATACGGTTTCGTGCAAGAGTCACTCGCTTTCCCTTGATTGATCTTGAGTTTTTCGCGCTCGTTTATTCGCCTTTGGAGCTGTTTCTAAGATGCTGCCCGGCCATCTCGCCACCGCTCTGGTGGCTTTGTTGGCGCAGAGCCAGGAAGCCACAGCCCTGGTTATCGACACTTTTAGTAACTCTGCATCTAACGATCTTGGATTCTGGCATGGTGCGGACGAGGGGATGACCTTGAACTGGGGCAACCAGCAGCTAGAGGTCTCTTCGCCAGATTCGGACTACTCTTTTTATACCCAAGTTTCCGCTACGTGTGAAGACTTGACTGAGGACAACGGCTCCTACCTTCATATCCAATACAGCGGTAGCACCAAGTTCACCGTTTCGCTTCAGCAGCATAACTCCGAATGTAACGAAGCGATTGCTCCCTACCCCGAAACATGGGACTCTCTCGAAGCGGCTCGGTATGCGCAGAATAACGACATCTATATGCCTATATCACACTTCAATATCGACAAGACCCGCGTTCTCGGAGTTGCATTAAAGGCATGGTATACTACAGAGCCTACTACTTTCTCGAAGGTCGAGATCGTCCCCTCCGTGCCTGACGGCTTTCCTATCCCCGTTAAGGAGCCATCAGGAAGTCTCTACTTCGCTTGCAAGCGCCCTAACTCGTTTGCCTTTGGCATCGATGATGGAGACCCGGTCTTCGCCCAGGAGGTTATGCAGATTATTAAGGAAGAGGATATTAAGGTGACCTTCTTTACCGTCGGTGCCCCACTCCGGGATCCTTCTACCAACCTCAGCAACGTCTATAACGAGATGCTATCCCAAGGGCACCAGGTCGCCCTTCATTCCTATACCCACCCGAAGATGGAGGGACTACCCGACTACGAGGCCATCGACTACGAGTACAACGAGGATATCGCCGCCGTCGCTGAGCAACTGAACGGCCTACGTACCTCGTACTTTCGCCCACCCTACGGAAACGAGGGCGCTCGTATGCGCCAGCGACTCGCCGCCGCCACGGGAACGGACGACCCGTCCATTATTAACTGGAGTATCGATATCGAGGACTGGCTGTGGGCAGAGGGACCGACGCCGGAGAAGCAGCTCGAGGCGTTCCAGCGGGACATTAGCAAGGGCGGGAACTTAGTCGTTATGCATTATCTGTACCCGAGCACCGTGTCGTATATAAGGCAGTTTATCCAGATTGCCAAGGCGACTGGTAAACAGATAATGAGGGTCGATCAGTGTATGGAGGACCCAGGCGCGCCCCCGTTGTAATCGGCTAGTTTAGCACCGGATAGATAGTGTAGAAGATGAAAGAATCCATTACCATGGTTCCGCTTACTTCGATAGTATATCCCATGGCAGGATTTATCACCCCAAACCATTGTTAACTTCATCTGGCTTACTAGCTAGATCTCCTTTCCTAGATAATGGGAATCGTTAACTAACGCAAATTGATATTAACGATTCCCATTCTCTAGAAAAGGAGATCTAGCTAGTAAGCCAGATGAAGATAACTTTTTTTTTTTTTTTTAAAAATCCTACTCCATTTCAGCTGGCTTTAAGAGCCGCTATGCTGGGTATTTCTATTTTTACAGGCGGGCAGCCTCACCGTCTCCGGTGGGCTAGAACTAGATATGGGCAGGGCGAACAGTGCGGGGGCCATCGGCCCCCGCCTCATCTATACCCAAGGGAGTGCTAAGACTCCCGAACTGGATAGCATCAAACAATTAGGAAAAAACCCTCGGAAAGACCATAGACAATGGTAGGGGTTCTACAAGGAGAAAGGTTAAAGCAGTATAACTCCCGCCTGGGATGCTTTATCATTAGGCTTTGTTTGTTTCGGGACGTTGGTACTATCCGTCTTCACACGGTGTCGGTGGAGACTTACTGTTAATGTTGATCAGAGATGCAACATCGGTGGTAGGCTAGGTGAGTTGGATCGCGGTCTTCAGTTGCCTGAATTGGCTTAGAAGGCCTGTTTGGAGCAATAGTTTTGTTGCTTTTGGGGCGCCTGCGGCGGTTCCTAGGAGGATCCGAAGGTCTGTAGGCTGGCCGTCTGGCCAAATTGTATCGCGTAGATGAAGATAACTTAAATACATAGGAGAAGACTGAAGAGTCCTGATTAGGCCTAGCCCAGGGGTAGAGGGCAGTGAAAGGAATGTTAGGTGGCAGTAGAAACCAACAGGGGCATCTTGCGACACTTTTGCGTGACACATCTCGCCCGGATCGTCTCTATCGCCCCAAGTGGGGGGTCTTGAGGGCTCGCTAGCTAGTAGCTACTCGAGTCCCTCCGACTGTGGGTCCTGGGGGCTCCGACCTCCTGTGCCTGTGCTTATGTCCCGCTCCGTTCTCCCCTTGCCGTGCTCCTTGTTGTGCCCCGGGGTCTGTGGAAGGTGCTCGTTGGGTGACGGGTTGAGAGGAGGTCGTCTAGGATGCAGGTCACCCGCGTCGCCGTTTTACTTGCGGATCTTGAATATGTTCGTACAGTAAGGCGATCGGTCCGTACACAGGCTCTCGAGAATAATGCCAATGAGGGTCAATGTCGTGGATAGGGATCTCACGGTGCTCAAGTGGCGAGTGGGACGTCTTCGCGGTCAGTGCATTTTCTTTGAATGGACTAACCAAAACGCAGGATTCTGATGAGATGTATGCGGGGGAAGCGGGATGTACATGAAGCATCTCCCGTATCTTAATAGCTGCAACCACTCGACTAGCTTTTGGCACAAATAGAACATTAACGATATACTTCTGGGATTTTTCCCTGACGGTTGATCCAAACAACCTCGAATCCAAGAATGCTCGAAAGCTGTGCTCCGAATTAGACAATATCCGCAACGGAATCGAGCTAGGATACATCAATCTCCGTCTCCTCATTAAGGGATATCCTCGTGGAAAGTGTCTCGATCCGCGCTTCCGCATTGAACGCCCTCTTCAACTTTCCAGCGCCCCCCAATGGAATCTCCTTCCCCAGCACCGTAACCGCCTCAATCACCAAGTCCGTCGGATAATCAAACCGTCCCTTAACCCTCAGCTTCTTCCCGTTATACTCAAACCCTATATCCGAGATGCCCGATTGCTCTAAGCTATCGCCATCATCGAGATAGAGCGATCCGCTTGCTTTGCCATCTAGCCCCGGCGCGATGACTAGATGGAAGTTCTCCTTCCGCAGCTCCGTAGTCGTGTTGGCGCTGTTCGCTCGCAGCGGGACGATGGAGCCACCCTTGTAGTGGAGTGGGATGGTGGTGAACGGCACGTCGTCCAGATGTATCCAGTCGCCCGATCCGCGCACCGGCTTCAAGGTCCAGAAGTCGTAGAAGATGTCGTCAGGTAGATAGATGTCCACGGAGGTTGCATTCTCCTCGTGGACGGGGCTGACGAGGATCGACGGCCCGAAGAAGAATTGTAGCGCGATTGGAAACGTGTTCGCATCGTTCGGATACAAGTAAAACAGGGGGTTGATCGCCGGGGCACCGGTGCGAGTCTGCTGGTACATCGCCGTGTAGATATAATCGAGGAGCCGGTACCGTGCATCGATCGCCGTCTTCGCTGCCTCGGTGACCAGTGGCCAGCGGTAAAATTCCTGCCCAATACCGCCCAGGTTGTTGTGGTTGCGATAGAATGTATAGAACGCCCCCAAGGTCGCCCAGCGAGCACAGAGCGTCTCGGTGGTATTGTCGCCAAAGCCACACACGTCGGAACCGACCATGGGAACTTGGAAGAGCGCGGCGAAGTCGAGAAGCTGTTGGATGGAGAACCTGTACTGATCCCAGGTGCTAAGATTGTCACCGCACCAGTGCCCAACTTGACGACCGGCGCCCGCAAATGTGCTTCTTGTGATGATGAGCGGGCGGCGGCCAGGACGGCGAGAAATCATCGCTTCTCGGGATGCCTCAGACATCATCGTACCGTATAAATTGTGAGTGTCATACTCAGTCAGTCCGTTTGCATGGATGAGGTTGGAATTCACCGTCTTATTACTGAGTGAGCCGGCTTCATTATCAATCATGTAGGGCGGATCGATAAGGTTCCGCCCTGGCAGGCCCATCTTATTCCCTGACTGTCGCCTCCCGCGAATGCGACTATTGGAGGATCCAGGTTGGAAGTTTCCTGGAAATCCAGGAATTGTCGGACGATCATCTCCACGGATCGGTGGCGGGTCAGGAGGGTTATCGTTCTCTTCCGCGAACGCTTCAGGGTCTTCGCAGGGGTAGTTGCAAAAGTTGGCGGGCTCGTTCATATCGATCCTAACAATGTAAGCCCAATGGATATTATGAGCATGCTGAGAATAAAACTCACCATAAGGCATCAATGTCCACACCAGTTTCTGCATTGAAGAAGGAAGCGAATTCGTCGTTCCAGTATTTCCCTGCATTGGGTGCAAACCAGTCTGGAAACGCGGTGACTCCTGGCCATACAACTCCTTGGAATATGCTGGCATCTTCAATCTTCATGAACACGTCTAGCTCAACACCCTTGTTGAAGGCCTCATAGTCTTCATATGCAATCGCAGGATCCACCATGACGATGTAGGATTGTTGATGATCATGCAGATAGCTTATTAGTTCCCGCATGAGCGGAAGGGAGAATCGCTCAGGATCTAGAGTGAAGGACTTGCGTAGTTCCATGTAATCAATATCAGTCCCTATCATTGGATCAACGAAGTTCATATCCGGAAACAAAAAATTAGAGAAACGTACACATCACTTCGAGGGGGATCCCAGCCTGGGAGTAATTCGAGACGACTTCGGCAACTTCATAGATGTCTCGGTAACCATATCGGCACTGGTGGAAACCAAGCCCAAAGTATGGCATCATGGCCGCATGTCCGACGAGGTCGGCGTATTGCTGAGACGCCTCGACGGGAGATGGACCTGCAAGGAAGTAGAAGTCGAACACTCCCCCTAGAGTATTGTACTCCAAATACTGTCCCAACTCCGAGGTTGAGTTGATCTTGATATCCATACCATTGGAATTGCGCAGGAACACTGCATGGGTCCCAGATTCCGCTCTGTGTTCGTAGTACACCGGATGGACACCGTACAGATTTGTCCCGGTAGGGACACCGTATGCATCTCGAGCCCACATCGTCGTCGTATAGTCCGAAGTGTTCAACTGGAAAGGATCCGTAGTTTCCCCCAGCCCATAAAGATTCGGTGATTCCGGTAAGCTGGTCCTCAATCGAAGGTACTGCGACTCGAAAATAATGTTTGACCCTTTCGTATCGAACAGCTTCTCTTTCGAACCTTTTCGAGATACGGAAAATGAGAAAGGCTTTTCCTCATAGTCAAAAACCAAATCTGATCCCGCGCCTTGGACATTGGCCGGTGACGGCAGTGGCAGTACGCTTTCGGGCACCTGGTACACATTCTCCTCGGCATCGTAAATCTTAACATGCAGTCGAGATGCTAGAGTGGATCAGTGTAAAAATTCCAGTCCGAGTTCAGATGCCTACCAGACTGATATTCCACTTCCAGCTTCAAATTCTTGATGTCGTAACCATATGCATCGCAGGCCGTCCCAGCAAGGGTCAAATCCGCAGTTAAGCCACCGTGCCCCTTCTTGACGTTTGAGGCTGCATATCCAGGGCATGAATCGACGCTTGCGGCGGCTGTGGCTGACGCCAATATCAAATGGACGATCCAAGTGCGCATCATGCCAATTTTGCTCCTTTGCAGTCTGCCCTCTCCTTTGCAGATTTGCTTCAATTGGGATTTATAGAATTAGAGATCATCCCCAATCCTTATATGCTGGGAACGAGGGTCCATTAGGATCGTGCAGGTTCCCAATAATCCGATGCTGCCTTCCGAACTGGGGATTGATTTTCATGATCCTCCATCCCACCCCGCAAACGGCAATCACGGCCTGGGGATAGTTACCAAGGATTTAAAACGGGCCCAGACCAAACTCCATGGTAAATTGCGAACAGTCGTGATGATTTTAGTATTACGCTCAGTCATCAGAAAATAAAAGGCCAACGGTAAGCCCGTTCACAGCCCAGATTGAAGGACCACGGCACCACGGTCCCGGTGCCTTCGGGGGCCATTAGTGCCCGTCCCCGAGACCCTTTGCGCCTTTCAATTGGGCTGCGAGGGGTTTCGTTAGCCTTTTCATTTGCTGATGACTTAGTGCAATACTAAAAGTTACCACATCATGCGCAATTCAGTCCGGAACAGGCATTAAAGCCAACCGCAACCGGTCACCATCGCGCGGCGTTGCCCAACGGTTATGAAGTGACATCGGGTTAACCATAAGGATAGTATTGCTAGGGAATAGGACCGATTACTCAGAACGGCGGCCGGGAACCGATATAGTTCATGGTCCAAGTCTGTCGTCCATGTCGCTCTCGTAGGGCTCCGTCCTGCGAGCAATAGGATTGATGCATACCCCAGCGGGATCCTGCAAGCTGACCGACGATCAATTTTCGGGGAAGCGGAGTAAGAAACCTGGAGAGGAAGGTGATCCTTTCGTAATTTCTGAGGAATGATGTGGAAACTGGAAAGGTCGGTCGGTCGCGGACAAGCTCCCAGAATCGTGGAAGTGTTGTGGGGAGATTCAGCCAGGATACTGGAGGTTGTGGTGGGTATTGGGTTGCTGCGATGTAACTTCAGGGGTTAGGTATTTAGTGCTTCTCCGCATTGAGAGAGAGCATCGCGGAGGGCTTGGTAGTTAGAACCAGGTGTTTTTTTACGGCTGGAAGATAATTAGATTGGAGCTTCCTACACGGCATCGTTGAACATGCTATTCAAATTTCAACCCCCAATGAATATTGCTCAAACTCGAGCGAATGTAGAGGAGGTTGAAGCGGAGATTTAACCCCTGATGGAGATGACGTCAAGCTGTGTGTGGGCTGCTAGTATGGTTACCCCGGTAATGGAGTATCAAACCCAAAGGGCCCTTTGATTATGAATACAGAAAATTGAGGACGTCCGCCAGCCATGATACCTAAATTCAGCGAGTTAGACTATCGAGAACGGAATTTTTTGTATAGACAATAGACAGACCGAGAGAAGACCAAGCTTTGTGTGGACTCAGGCGCCCGAGACGACCGAAACCCAACCAAGCGAGCCGCTCTATCTTCCCGAGCGATATTAATACGAAGGGGATTCAATTTTATTGTATATCCAGCCACTGAGCGGGTTCGAGATTTGCTAAGCCCTTCATCCGGTCTCGGCATTATCATAGGCACAAACTTATCTCATCGTCGACCCAAACCATGCCACGACGATGGACATCGAGAATTGGCTCGTCCAAGGAGACATCTTCATCGGCCCCATCAGCCCCTGAGGAGTTGCCATCGACCTTCACAGATGGCCTGACACTACCCACGCTATTTGTATTCGATCTCGATTATACTTTATGGCCGTTCTGGGTCGATACGCATGTGACGCCGCCTCTGAAAGCTGTGGAGGACGGAACGAAAGCGAAGGATAGGTTGGGAGAGCAATTCGCGTTTTATGATCAAGTGTCAGATATTCTGGTCGGAGTAAGTTATTGTTCTTCATCTCTATCTCATTAAAACAATTGTCGTTTAAGACTCTTCTCGCCAACTACTGTTATGCGGTTGGACCCTTTGATATTGCATAACCACGTGTACGCCTGCAATTCTGACCAGATCTTCCATTGCTCTTTGTTATAGTTCAAGAACAGCCAAAGTACCTAGCACTAACTGTTGACACAGCTCCGACAAAGCGGCATCAAAATTGCCGCGGCCTCACGGTCTCAAGCCCCCGAACTGGCACGAGAAATGCTAAGACTGCTCCGCATCTCGCCTGACGGCCTCCCGTCCGAGAAATCCATCGACTTCTTTGACGACCTGCAAATCTACTCCGCCAGCAAGACCACGCATTTCCAGAAAATCCACGAGCGGACGGGCATCCCCTACGACGAGATGCTGTTCTTCGACGACGAGATGAGGAATCGGGACGTGGAAACGCTGGGCGCCATCATGTATTTGGTGCGGGACGGGGTGACGAGGGAGGAGGTGGACAATGGGGTGTGGAGTTGGAGGAAACGGACGAAGGGGGATAGAGAGAAGCGAGTTCAGGAACCTTGAGTTGGGGAGTTAAGGGGTATGTCGGCATGCCTTTTCTTCGGTATACTATGTTATGCCATTTAAGGTTTATGCATGATTGATCGTAATAGCTGGCAAACAATATGAGGTGTATCGATACACCCGATGTCGCTGATCTGATTCCCTAGATTTAGGAATGCTCGGAACATCTGTTGCATGACCTGAGGGCTAGGCGTGAGGTAGTCGCAACCTGTACCATTGCATATCTATTTGTCGAGTATAGAGTCTCGGCACCTTTAATCACGTAGATACATATGGTGAGTTGCTCCGAGATATAATTCATTGGCGTAAAGGAATTCCTGGGTCAGTGGATGGATTGAACTAGGCACCATTGAAGCGGCTAGTCGGCCAATTCAACTAAGAACCACAATTCAGGACGTGGAAGCACAATGCCCATCCCACCTGTTCAATGTCCAAAAAAATTAATCCTGTAAATACTTCGTTCCTGTCAAATTATATTACTGGTACAAATTGCTGTTGAGACGTTTGGCAACCAATGACGTAGGGTGGTGATATATTGGCGGGGTTACGCAGCATGCAGTGGCCCTGCATACCAAAAGAAACTCGTCTCCGCACTTCAGCTCACTATCTTGGATTCCCGTATAGGTATTCAATGTCCTTCATTGATCTGGTCTCAATTTGTACTCAAAGTGTCTTGAATAATCCATTGGAGAGCAAATAAAATAGCTGCCCAGCGGAAAGTGTCCAGAACTACATCATGGCAGCCCTTCGCTCTGCCTCCACTCGCTGCCTCCTTGCTAGTACCCTCGCCGCAACGCGAGCTCGACCACGCGCCATTCCCCAGCACATCCTCCGAACGACGACCCAATTCCGCTCCAGTCTCTACATCTCCTCCCTCCGACACCCATCACCGGCTGTGAAAGCGATATCCAACGCTCAATTCCGCCATGTCATCCGCCAAGTCAATACCAAGACCGTCAACACCAAGACGATCGGTCCATCGGCGGGTGGAAGCGGGCCATACGACAAGCGCGACGTCGAAGCGGAAGCCAAGATGCAGAAGACGACGTTGATACCGACCCCGGAGACGGTGTCGACCACGTCGTCGACGCAATCGATCCTCAGCTCGACAGGGGGTCAACAGCCACTGGCGCCTCCTTCTGGCATAGAGGAACCCGACATTGATATGTTGGCGGCAGTCCGATCTGACATAGTATGACCTGCAAGCACGACAGTGACGAACAAACCTAATAGATCCCTTCACAGAACACCATTCAGGACACGTTCTCGCTGAAAGCGGTGCCTAGAGACGCGATGATCATTGGTCTCGCGGGCGTCGTGCCGTACTTTGTTACTTCTGCAGGGACGTTCCTCTGCGCGAGCGAGATCATCACCGCCGACACGACGGCCACCGGCTACCTGTTCACCGCGAAAGGCGCCGAGATGTTTCTCCAAATCCTGGAACCTCTTCAGGTTGGCTATGGGGCGGTGGTAAGTCCTCCACGCACATCGTCGTTTACAGGACGCTGCTGAACAACCAGATCCTTTCCTTCCTCGGCGCCGTCCACTGGGGCATGGAATGGGCCGGCTACGGCGGCCACCACAGCTACAAGCGCTACGCGATCGGCGTGTTCGCGACGGCGTTCGCGTGGCCCACGATTCTACTAGAGGCAGAGACGGCGCTCATCTCCCAGTTCGCGGCGTTCGTACTGCTATATTACGCGGACACGGCGGCGACGGTGCGCGGTTGGGCGCCGCCGTGGTATTCGACCTACCGGTTCGTGCTGACGTTCGTGGTGGGCGCGGCGATCTGCGTGTCGTTGATTGCGAGGTCGATGGTGAAGGATAAGGTGGTGGTGCATCGGGGGCCGATGAGTCGGTTTCGAAACTTCACGGACGAGTTGAGGATTGAGAAGAATAAGGGGGAGAAGATCCAGGCAGAGGAGGGGGGGTGAGGGATGGATTGAGGGTTCTCCTGTGGCCCAAGGGCATTGAGCCGGAGATGGAGCAAAGGATGAATTAAATCGACGAACATTTCCGCTTATCGGAGGAGTTCCAGTGCCCCAAGCCCCAGAGCTTCCAGAGCATCCTTAGCGTGTCTAATAATCATCATCTGCGACTTTTCCCGGCGCCAGTAACTGTGGACCTAGTCCATTCACCCCCGGGACCCCGATGTTCCTGATTTTCTCCGCAACTTCTCAGGTACTCTCTTCGCAGCTGAACAGAATCGGACCAAGGACCAACGGCTCAACCAGAGCTTGCAATCGAGACGTTCCATCGTGATCCGGAAAAATTCCTCCCCATCAATTCCTTCGCGTTTGCCGCGTGCAGATTGACATCCATCTCGTGTTGTCGTCGTCGGTTCGTTCATCCGATATTGCCGTCGGTCGCGTCGGGTCTCGCGTGTCAGGCTACAAGGCATCGATGTGCATGGTTTGTCGGCACAGGTGACGGGAGATTCGCGTTTCGGGAAAGGATGCCGCGAGTTTGGAGGGGGAGCCTGAGGAAAAGCTCCGAATTACCCCTCGTCTCGCAGTGTCACACGCAAGTTGGCAGAAAGGATCTTCTTAAATCGCCGTCGCCGCAATGGAGGGAGCGTAAGAACGAACAAGTCGTTTGGAGGAATCAGAGTACGTTAAATGGTATGATTACCTTGCGCTGTCGCCAAGCCTACTGCTAGAAGTCTTTTCTGACGATTGCGCTGTAAGGAACTGTTCACACCAAACACCGTCTATCCAGGTACTGTCCATCAAAGCGCCTTTGTTTACATCTGTCCCACAAGGGAATTGTTGCGTATAATAGAAACTGATGGTGCGTTATAGATCAAACTTCTGGAATAGGAACTCCACGCCGTTGAGATTCTCACGCCCCATCTATCCCAATCGACGGCATCTACACACCGGCAGCAACACCGCTGTTGGAATTCCACAATTCGGACTCCATGATCAGCATCTTAATATGACATCCGAGAAGACGTTTATCGGTGCCATAGATCACGGCACCTCCAGCACGAGGTTTATCGTCTTCGATCTACTAGGCCATCCGGTTGCGAGACATCAGCAAGAGTTCAAGCAAATCCATCCCAAGTCAGGGTATGTGGAAACCGTCGGATTTCGGCCGTGGAGGCTTGCGATTCAGAACCATTGCAGCTGACGACAACATAGATGGCATGAGCACGACCCCGACGTTCTTATCTCGTCCGTCGTCGACTGCATTGACAAGGCCGTCGAGAAGTTCGCCCAGCAAGGCCACGACGTGTCGGACATCAAATGCGTCGGTCTTACCAACCAGCGTGAGACGATGCTGGTCTGGGACCGGGAGACCGGCGAGGCGTTGCATAATGCGATCGCATGGCCCGATACTCGAACCACCTCGATCGTCCGCGAACTAAAGGCGAAAGACGGCGCGGACGACCTCCGGTCCGTGTGCGGATTGCCACTGTCGACATATCCGTCATCCCTGAAGCTGCTGTGGCTGCTTCGAAACGTGGAGGCGGTTCGAAATGCCTACGATGCCGGACGCCTGATGTTCGGGACGGTCGATACGTGGCTGCTGTACCGACTCACCGGCGGAAAGGACGGCGGCGTGTTCGTGACCGACGCCACGAACGCGTCACGGACGATGTTCATGAACCTGAAGACCCTGCAGTACGAGGAGAAGCACCTCCAGTTCTTCGGTCTGGATCGGTCCAAGATCCACCTTCCGTCCATTGTGCCGTCGTCTTCCGCGACGGACTACGGGAAGTTGGGCGTCAGTCGATTGAAGGGGACTCCGATCACCGGATGTCTGGGAGACCAATCTGCTGCGTTGGTCGGCCAATTGGGCTTCTCGCCCGGATCGGCGAAGAACACGTACGGAACCGGATGTTTCCTGCTCTACAACGTCGGCAACGAGCCGGTGATCTCCAAGCACGGTCTCCTAGCAACCGTTGCCTACGACTTCGGACGCCCACTGAAGCCAGTGTACGCGCTCGAGGGCAGCGTCGCGGTGGCCGGCAGCGGCATCACCTTCCTAATGCAAAACCTCGGCTTCGCCACGCAATCCGACGACATCAATGCGCTGGCGGAATCCGTCGACGACAACGGCGGGTGCGTCTTCGTCACCGCGTTTAGCGGCCTCTTCGCGCCCTACTGGATCGACGATGCCAAAGGTACCATCTTCGGCATCACCCAGCATACACAGAAGGGCCACATCGTGCGCGCCACGTTCGAGGCCGCCTGCTTCCAGACGAAGGCAATCCTGGACGCCATGGAGAAGGACAGCGGCCAGTCGCTCGCCAAGCTGGCAGTGGACGGCGGGATGAGCAATTCCGAAATCTGCATGCAGGTAAGTGATCCGCCCCGGTGGTTTTTGACACCTGCAACGCCCAGGAACACCAGCCAACCATTTTCTAGACCCAAGCCGACCTGATTGGAATCCCCGTCGACCGACCCGCGATGCGAGAAACGACCAGTCTCGGCGCTGCCATCGCCGCGGGGTTCGGCGTGGGCCTCTGGCAAAATCTCGACGAACTGATGGCGATGAGTCGCCGGGATCGAACACATTTCGAGCCGGTGCTGTCGAAGGAGGCGAGCGCGAAGATGTTCACGCGCTGGGAGCGGGCGGTGGAGATGTGTCGGGGTTGGCTGGATACCACGGAGCAACAATGACCTCCGCACGGAACCCAGGGCCGCTCCTCACTGGAGCATGATGATTTTTTGCTCGCGTTTTTTCAAATTCATTGCGCTGTTAATTAACCAGTATTGCGCGGCGTTTCGTTCGCATGTCTCTTGATCGCAACTTGCAAGCCAGCTATGAGCCCTGCGTTGCTTACAATCGTATAGACCTATTCTTTAGTATAATGTACGTATATCGAGCGAGCGACGATGCTTCCAAATCATTCCGATCCTTACGACGCAAATATACCTCGTTAGCTCGAACCGGTCTGCGGACACGTTTCAGCAGATGGCCGAAACATCGCGGTAAGTGTGCTTATCCTATCTGTAACCTTCCCGGCGGGCCTACCATATGAGATGCCGAGTCATGGAGCCTGCAGGATTGCAGGGTAGGAGATCATGGGCATCCTAAGAATTGGGAATCGCCAGAGCTGGGCCCCGTTGGGGCGCTGGCAGTATCAACCCGATCGAAGAGCCGTCCCAAGGGTCAAGAGTGATGAGTTCTCCAATCGTAACATAGTACTCGCTACTTTTTACGACTGTCAAACTTCTCGTTGTGGATGCTCTATTCCTTCACCCTGCACAACACCACGCACGGAACCGCATTGATCCCGTAGATCCGATGTTGACATGCATAGAAACCAGAACCGTCGAGCGCCTGGCTTCGATTTTCAAGGCTAGTCATATTGCGTAGCCTCTTCCAGCGTCCAGGAATAACCAGGATGCAGCCCGAAGCCCGCAGACTTGAGACTCCCAGTCGCCGCCATGCGCCTCTAGCATACCGGTAGATTGGAGTTGGTGTAGTTAATTACAAAGATGAATTTCTTCGGCGAACGGATTACCGACGGGTTTTGCTTCGGGCCTGACAGGAACATCCAGGTACGTCTCTAAGACACTGTTGCCCAAGTTTTTGGTTGGTGGGAAATCAGCTAGACGCAATAAGGGGTCGCAAGGAGGTCCAAGATGCGGTTTTGGTTCGAGATATTGGGTCTGCAAAGTAGGTACCTGACCGCTTCACGGTACTAAGGACCGTACTTGTTTACCGGCGCTCAATACTATGCAAGTTAATAATCTTCACATTTCCCATTTCTCCGTTACCAGGGGACGCCACGTTTTCACCGTTGGGAAATAGTTGCATCCCCCTCCTGCAAGTCTGCGATCCTTCCCCAAGGATGAAACGCCAGGCTGGCCACGCTCACACTTTCATCTGCTTCCACGTGCTTTTGTTCCACTTCGTCGGGACATGGCTGCGGGAGAGTTGGGACTTGGGAAGAGGGGAAAATGGGAAATCCACGCGACACGAAACTTAAATTGTTCCGCTAACTAATGATGCGATTACGTGCATATCTTCTAATTACCGTTGGTTGGCCTTGCGACCGATTCGGCCGGACTGGCCGTTACGCTCCCCGAAAAACGAGGGAGGAACGGTCCCTATCTATCATTCCATTCGGCTTTCAGAATTCAGTTGAGTCCGGCTGTTCTGCTCTTACGCACCAGGATATTCCGTACCTTGCATGCGAGTTGCGATTAATTGGAGGATGGGAGCCACGAATTTCACGGCTCGAAACTTCGCCTGATTGCCCCGAACGCCGGCACCCGACGATACTTCACACTTGGTACTACCGTGCGGATCAGGAAACATCCATCATCCTGTTCATCCACAATAAAGTATCCCCAGTCTCCGCCGCGGCATCACCCATTTCCCAAGAATGAAGGGTCCAGCAACGGTTTGAGATCCAACTTGTAGGGGCTTTTCGGCACCTCGGCACCTTCACAAGGAGTTCACATCTGTAAAGTTCATCATGCTCAATTGCTCTCTATCGGTCAGAAAATGGGAGTGGTTAGCGAGATTCTTGTCTTAGAAAATCCAGGGCTTGATAGCTACGAGTAAGGAGCATAACGATCGGCTCTCCTGAGAATGCAGGAATAAAAATAGTGGACGTACCAGGCCACCAGTTGTATCTGTACCATAGCGAATCTAACTTTGAGGTATTTCCGTTCTGGGTACGGAATCCCGAATATCATGACGCTACAGCAGACAGACAGACCATCCTATGGCCCCAGATTCCCAGTTGACACGCTGGTCACGCCGTCACCTAGCAGCCATCCAAGTCGCTTCCAGGCTTCCTCGTCCCTCAGGTTCCTACATGTGTAGGATATGCGGGTACGCCGATCCGTGCTGTACGGTATCCAAACACCGAATGGGATACGGAACCTGGCCGTTGGATCCACAGTGCGCAACGCCGCATGAATCTCACGCAGGATTTTCCTTTCTGCATAAAAGATCTGGTGGGCGACCCCCAAGCGGGATCGGTCCGTTATCCCGTAATACATCAACTGTCAAGATACAAACCAAAAAGATAGTGGTTTGGGGACAAGACTTCATGTTACCATCTGCCTATGGCTCAATAAGATACCAACGGACCATCGTCGCGCGATGGCACCTCATCCGTCACACAGTCAAATCCAATATACGCGGAGCCGGCCCGTAGGTTAGTTAATCCTAACGAGTCGAAACACCTGACTGGTATCAGATCTCAAGAGTATCACGCCCATCCACGTAAAATTTGATTGCAGATGGTATTCGCTATGTCTCGCTTTGTGCACTCTGATGCCGTCCAGATGTCTCAGTCTTCAACACGCCACATCGGAGCCGACTCCCATACCAGGGTGATGCTGGACGGCTCTGAACTTACGCAGGTTCACATCTTCTCATCTTCTGAAAACATAGATAAGCGTGGTCAGGGCTGGATGGGATCATGATTGCGTGCCATGCTAGCCATCCGCTAGCGTTACAGCTCGTCGTGAACATGCTTCTAGAAGAGCTCTAGCCGGCTCTAGGGCACGTCATCCATGTTGCACAGCGCACAGTGTCCACCTAGTCTGCCCGGGTCAAGGCTTCCAGCAGTCATCGGGAACAGCAAGCCGCTTCCGCCTCTCGCGTTGCTGACTGTGGTTACCCTTTGAGTACGTCAGGATATACCTGGTCCTCTGACCTGATATTTTCATCTATCCCATGTATTTCATAACTTTGGGCACCGGGTTACATGACTCTGATAGACAAGACGGGCCCTGCTGCACCAGTGGGAGTACCGACTTACGATTCGTCCCGAACCGATTCCGTGCTGTTCACACTTCAAGGAGAATGATAATATTTAAAGGTTTGGCCCTCCCTCGGGAGACTAGTCTATCCGTAAGAGATAGTTGATCCATTTTCTTTCCACTCCACGCGTCGTTGCCGTGCTTCACCCACTTCTGCCATTGCCATACTTTTCCTTTTACATTCTCAAGATGTGTGATTACACCCAAGTCGAGTACGCATGTGGTCACCTTCGCTATACAGTGAAGGCCTGGTGTGTAAAGTATCAAGAAACACATCGTCGTTGTCCAGCAAATGTTGTTGCTATGTGAGTCTTTCTCACATTTCGAGCTGCCAACAGGAACTCATACGATGCGCAGTGAATACCGTTTGAATGAGAAGTGCGGTAAGCCACCCCGCAAGTCAACTTTGAAAGAGCAATTCCTAATAATCAATCAGGAGATTGTCGCGATACTTCATCGGCAAAGGGGCCACGCAGCGTGTCAGCATCATCGTCGTCCTCTTGACGAGCCTATCGTTAACCAAATTTCTTAGGCATCGCATGCGGCGGTACTAGCCATCGCAACAAAAACTTTTGCCGAATTATCGACGGTTCTCTGCAGTCTGCAGCTTCCCGTGCGTATCGACGGAATCCAACCCCCCTTGCACAGATAGTTGACATGCACCAGAGACGGAATCACACCACGCGCGTCGCGAGACCCGTTTCCTCCCACGTCAAGTGACGGGTATTACCGACTTTTCCGGAGACCTTGTACTCTGTCACGCCAGATCTTGCGATCCCTGTGTACCGCAAACTGTTCGTCGCGGAATAGCCGAGCCTCCAGTATGCGGGTCATCTGAGAAACAGCGCTGCAGTCGCCCATCCACTTTCCGGATTTCCGCAGAAATCTCGAGTATCAGGATGCGGGTTCCCGGTCGCTCGACGCTTTTGGTCACGTCGTCGTCACCTTGAGGCTCTGCGATTTCGGACACCGGACTTGCGCCCGGTCGAGCAATCAGTAGGATTTGCAACCTCGTTTAGAGCCAAGCGCCTTTTCAGTTCACTCCTGATCTAGACGATGTTTAGAGGACCGCCTTTCCCCATTCTAGGGAAACAACTTCCATATCTGTTCTTGGGGGGAACACGGGAGGCGCCATGACCTCGTCCGCCAAGTTCAACCGGTTCTATCAATGTTCTCACCTGTCGTTTCACGCTCCTCCTGTCTGAGGAATTTCTATCAACAACGCCAAAGGGAAAATGCTTACTGAGAATGCATCCCAACGTCCAGGGGCAGGGAATCTTTTCGGGCGAAATTGGCATTAGTTTCATTGTCACAAGCAGAGACGCACATGAAGGAAGCAAGGAAACAGGAACCCATTCCAACTCACGCAATTTCGCATTCTAGACCTCCGGGGTGGATTGCATGGAGGTCCGGATCACATCCGTGTTTCATGGTTTGGATATTTTGAGATTGTGCACAACATCGGGAGCGAAGTCGTCTTTTGCAATCATATGTAACATGCATGAATGCATGGTGATACATGCTTACCCCTGCAACTTTCGGTGCTCACTTGCTGCGTAAAGAGACCGGGCTTGAACACTCGCATATGATGGGCATATGACAGACACTCTTTCAGCGACCTTCAGGACCCCATTACATTCAGAAAGTTCTCCTCGTTCTTTAGCGTCGGGAGCTCTATGCATTTGTTCTGCCTGTCACAGGGAGGACCAAAGGCTGGTCCCTGCAGTGTTCGATATGTGGGCATGAGCTACAAGTCACATCGATTTGGTCTGAACATAAGATTATTTCGTCCTTCCTTGTGGTGCGATTAATCTGACTGAAGTAAATTTTCGTATTTTTGATAGATATTTCAATAGACGAAAAACAATAGATGAGCTCAGGAGCTCCTACCACTGTCTTTCTAGTCCATATGCGCTCCTACGGTCGTACGGTTAATATCATTAATCGCTCTACAACTTGGGCCAACTGAACAATATATACTGAAACAATACTTAAAGTCTTCTATTGTCTCTGTTTTCCCGTCATTTACAGCGCATACAAGCATGCAAGTAATCCGCTCTATCACATTGACATCAATATACGATGTTACATCCCCCCTTATAAATGTCCCAACGGTCTGGACTCATATATATCCACGCACCATTTCTCAACCTGGGAGCCGCCACGTTCGCATACATGGTCCTGCAGTTTGACGTCAGTTTGAGGATGAAACACCCATCAATATCGATGAGCTCTCAACAGATAAAGGAATGTTGGAGTCAATTTCCACTCTTGGTTTCGATTTGACGAACAACTAGGCCTGGAACAGTGGTTTGGTGTGCATGATGCACGATACGTAAACCAGATCACGAAGTTCCTTCCAATCACCGTGAGCTCACGGATTCGCTGCACCCATTTCTCAACCAACAGTTTGAGGAGATGTCTCAACCATTTCGCGGCAAAGCGGCCCGTGGCACGTTTTTTTTCATCGTTCATCATCAAATCAACTCCATGATATTGCAGACATGGGAAGGTCTTGTCGACATAGTCGTGTAGGGAAACCGTCTGTCTTGGCAAGAACGATAGAGCGAAGAATTCCAATTCATCCCATGCCAGAAGATTAATTGCTCAGCAAGCTCTCCGAGGAGCCGTGCCAATCCAACAGTTTTGAGAGATGCACCAAGATATTCATTCGGGGGAGGGATGAGCCCTGTAATCGGGAGCAAACAGAAACAACGAGATGGACGACGGTTGGGATTGGCAATCGGCAAGTCGTGTTTGGGACTTGAGATCGTGCTTGGGAGCGTGATGCTCGCCTGGAAATTCCTGGAGGATGGGATCCTGGATGAAGCCACAACGAGGTAGGAGCCGTCCCTCCCACAACCGTCCTCATGGGTTCCCGACGACGTGGTTTCCATCTGATCTGGCCCACATAATCCGCATCTCATGATTCTCCTTCGAAGGATTCGGCTCTTGAGCACTGAGACGGACGGAGTTGTTGCAGTTCCTATGAGGCCGTCTAACTCCAAGTCAACGAATGACTTGAACATATGCATCGTGCCCTGCTTCGGATTGTCTAAGCTGTGGCGCAATGATGCTATATGGTAGGAGATACTGATATTAGCCTTTCAGCCTCGGCGCAGGAATATTTTAGAGTGGGGTCCGAAGGTCGAGGCTCGAGTAGGACTGGATGGATGAAATGGAGACAGGAGAGCATTGGAAACCAAGGCCGTTATCGGGACGGCTTGGGCTGTGATGCCTAGGATCGAAACGAAGCCTTGTTGTTGACCATTTTACTCGGCTCTTCATAGTTAATGGTTCGGACCGGGCTATCACAAGCAATTCCATATTCTACCGACGATGAGAGCCGAACATCATGCAACAACCCTCCTCTCCCTACAAATCATATCGAACCACAAAACCGATGCTTCAAAACCTGAAACTGTTCCAGAATCCGTAATTAGCCCAAGACTTCCAGAAGCTTGTCAGATTGCGCGTTCTGCAGGGATACAGGGGCTGTCAAGATATCCGATAGATTAGGACACCTTGGTCCTTGTCACCACGAGTGCCGGTGGAAATTCCTCCCACAAGGCCACGAGACAACCAGGTGACCAGGTCACATCCTCTGGTCCTCGGGACAAGGAACCAGATGTCTGTCCATGATATGCATGCTTTCGGGACCTCGCTTGTGGATACATGTGTCGATCATTCAACTCGATACTTGAGAAATGCTCCGTTCTCGAATAATGGGGAGATCCATATGAACCAGTAAAATATCCCATGGAGCGTTATGGAGTCAAATTGAGTGACTCGCAAGAGAGAAATTACACCGATATGGAGCACAAGCAAGGAAGTAGATGAATTGAGGATGTTCAGTTCTGCAGAACGGAATGATGTGGTTGCGATGCCTGGGCTGGTCTGGACTGGAGACTGGATCTTGACAATCATTATGTCAGCAAAGCACAGTGCCTTCATGTTACCTTGAGGCTTGATGCCTTGGCGCCTAGGGAGGTTTTCATCTCAACCGCATGCGCAGTTGGACGGACCTGATTGGCTGGAAAAATTCATGATGCCATCACGGGAACGACCGCCAAACACTGTGGCCGGTGCACCACCACACCAGTTTGTTGAATAGAATTGCGATGCGACACATGGAAGAATCGTGACGTGGCAGAGTTAGTCGGCATGTCCTCTCACCCGCGAAACGGCCTGACAGCGAATCCCCCCGTCTGAAGTCTAGGCCATTGCTCTATTGCTAAATCTGTAGGAGAGCTCTCCCCTGTATCGTTTTGCTAGTTTGATATGGCATCTTCATTTAACAGAGACCATGGCCTTGGAGAAAAGAAGGAAATCGTGACATATCGTGTGCTAGTCACGGGCGCAAATACGTAGGTCCAGTCGGATCCTGAAGAGACTACACATAGCTGACGACAGTAAACAGCGGCCTTGGGTATGCCATATGCACCCGCCTCATCGAGACGTTTCTGGATGTCCGCGACCTCCACGAACACCTCCACCTCATCGTGGCGACGCGGTCCGAAGCAAAATGCGAGAAAACCATCCGATCGCTTCGAAGTCATATGAAGCAATGGAAGAACAAGCAGATCGCCCAAGGAAACGGCCGTTTGATCCAGGACCTCATCCTGAAGGAGAGCCAGGCAGACCCATTCGTCCGAGTCGCGATGAGCGGTGAAATCGTCGACCTGTGTGACCTGATGTCAGTGCGAGAATTGGCAGATAGGCTAGTAAACGGTCGAAACAAGCACAATTCCAGCGGTCCGCCAATTGGGGACAAGTTGACTAGCAAGATTGGCCATCTGGACGTGCTAATATGTAACGCCGGGGTTGGTGGATGGGATGGGATGAAGTGGCCGCAGGCTGTTAAAGATGTTCTCACAAATATGGTTCAAGCTGTCACTTGGCCGCGATTCAAAAGAAGCGTCGTCGGCACGGCTGCCGAACCTCAGTTCCAACGAACGAGTGCGGGCAGGGATTCCGAAAGCAAGACCGACACGCAGGAAAAGGTCTCCGAGCATCCAGCATTGGGGCATATTTTCTGCTCCAACCTCTTCGGTCATTATCTCTTGGGGCATTACCTCACCCCTTTGCTGTCCAAGGTGCCGACGGTCCAGGAAGCTCGAGGACGAATCATCTGGATTTCCAGCTTGGAAGCCTATGATTATGCATTGAACCTCGACGACATCCAAGGCCTGGAAGCCGAGGAGCCGTATGAGAGCTCCAAACGCCTCACGGACCTCCTCGCCCTCTCCTCCGAGCTCAAGTCCACCGCTCCGTGGGCGTCGAAGTACCTCGGGAGTTCCCCAATCGACAAGCAGATGGAGAGCGTCACCGACGGGGCCGACGAGGCAGCTGGCGAGAAAAAGTCTGAATCCAGCTCCGGAACGCCCTCCATCTACCTCACCCACCCCGGCATCTGCGCCACGGGCATCGCCGCGATGCCCTTCGTCCTTCACTACGCCATGATCGTCGTGTTCTATCTCGCCCGCATCCTCGGCTCCCCATGGCACACCGTTAGTGCGTACATTGGGGCCGCCGCGCCGGTCTACCTCGCGCTCGTCCCGCAGACGCAGCTCGACGTGAACGAGCGGACGCGGGGCCTGGGCAAGTCGAAGTGGGGGTCTGGCACGAATCGGATTGGGTCTGAGATGGTGTCGCGGACGGAGGTAGAGGGGTGGGGGCTAGGCGGGAAGATTGGCACGGATCCGGAGGATTGGGAGATGAGGAGGGAGCAGGCGGGGCCGGTGACGGTGGCGAGGGTGGTGGGGAGGGAGGAGAAGGAAGGGTTTGAGACGAGGGCGATTGAGGCGTGGAGGGAGATGGAGGGGTTGAGGGAGGATTGGGAGGGGAGGATTGAGAAGGAGTGGAAGAGGAAGCTGGATGGGGAGGGGAAATAAGGGACGGGAGTCGGATGCATATCGGCGTGTCGGTTGGGTGCTTGCATGCTTGTCCTACCGAGTCTATGCATGCTAATGTAATGAAATGTTGAGCCGGCTTGAAAACGGTTCCCATGTTTGTGGCATATGAATACATACTACATACAGAATAGAACACTTATAATAATCCCCTCTGCGTACAGAGCACCCTTCCAGTTTCCACACGAAGGAGCCGCCTCCCCCACTCACATTTGGTAAGGCCCTTTTCCGATACGCAATTCTGGTAGCTTAAGATGAACCATGAATGCTTTGCGGCGATGTTTGCTCTCATGCAAGAAATCGATGATCGACCGCGCATAGTGAGACCTTTTGGATATTGGTGGAAGTCAGGTGTCCTCGTGCCATGATTGGCCTTTGAGCCTTGCATGCCAATCTCCTGCTGCGATCAAGTAAAGTCCAAGACACCAACCAGCATTGAGGACGGAGTACCAGAAGGTACAGAGTAAGTAATATGGTATTTTCAATATTTTCTTAGCGGCTAGCTGCTTGCCAACCAGTTGCAGTGAACCATTTCTACCACATCCGAATCAAAGCTCCCTTGAGACCTCACAAATCATGCTCCATCATGCCCTTTCCCGGAATGTCGCCGCTGATGCGAAAATGTCACGGAATATTTTGAATCAGTCCAATCAGCATTTTTATCACCTTTCTGTCGTGGACGAGACTAGGGACGCCGGTCCGCCTTGCGTCGCTTGTTTCAAGAAATCGAATGCGCTGCACGGTTCCCACTTCTCACCGATGGACCCCTGGACGCGCCGTGGGTTCGGGACAGTGGTGGGCTCCTGACTCTTGGGCGTTGAATGGCTAGTAAAACCGTTGAAACTGACCTCTCTCCTGGCCCCTGGATCCTTTGAAGGTCGCGCAATCGCCTTGGACATTCAGGTCGAGATTTGAACTTCTTCGACTACGATATTGACCGAAGAGAACGCTATCGCTTTAACGGAAGGAGATACACGAGGGCGGTTGTGACGATGGGCGTGATATGCCAGGAGTCCAATCGTTCCGCAGCCGAAGAAGCACTGGAGGTTGAGGACGCGAGCCAGTGAGCAAGGAGACACGGCAATGCGGTCCCCGCATCTCAACAGGGTTTAAGATCCCAGCGTGTATTCCCGAAGCAGATGCGCAGTTCTCCATTAGGCCTTCGCACAGTCAACCAGAACGTCCGCCTGTCATGTTGATGACTTGGTGTTGATACTAGATGGCTCGGGGCAATATACTACGTACTGTGCAGTTTGCACATGGCATGGGTAATGGAACCTCAGGGCACCCTTCCGTACCAGCGCCCGACAGACTGGCTAGCTGATTCCAATCGGGCGGTCAAGCAAGGAGCCAAGTTGTGATGTATCCACTGTTCTCAGGCACTGGCGGGGTTTTGTATGGAGCTCCAGCTGTCCGATCCTTGGGGTTCAATCTTTACACTTAATTAGAAGTCCATAACCCTCCAAGGGGAGGACGTACATAGTCGAGGACGACTCAATAGTGTCAACTGTCACGCATAACGGAGTACTATTGCCAGACGAACTCGAGAAGAGAGCCGTTGCACATTGAAGAACGGAAAGGGAACTCTTAGCGTGTCTCCAGGGTTCCCTTGTCGTCCTGTGGCCCTGCCGGCCATCACGCGAACGATTGGGGAGTCCATCGCAGAGGAGGGCCGCTAAGGACGATAACTGGAGGACGCAAAAAGCGACAAATGTGCATGAATCGGCACGAAGTCACCCCCTTTGCAGAGGGCCAGGAACGCCCCTGTGGGCTGATTTTTAGGTTATCCCATTCGGATATCCGTGCATGATTCGACCACTTCGGACTTCGGACTTGGTGATGCGGTTTGCTTGATGCTGAGCGTGACTGTCCGCGGATGTTCTGCAGGTATCTTTGCTTTTGGATCGAAGACGATTTTTCTTCCTGGAGTTCCTTCTCTTTTTGACTTGTCACTTGATATTGTCATCGTTGTGCCGCTCAAATGACTTGCATGATCGCTAGAGACTGAGGATGATGGATACCTTAGTGGAAGGTTTACAGATTCGACAAAGAATTGTAAAGCAATGGTGACGCATTCAATTGCCTCATGTGCCTGTTGCCCACTACAATCAATGGCTTCAAGGGCACTTGAAGTCACAGGACAAGACAAAACGACAACCTCAGCCAGCATATCTCAACCGAAGACTTTGTTGTCTTAGGGAGAGCAGTGTAAACGTTGAACCGCAACAACGCTGATATCACATCTCCTTCGACCCTCCCCCGATCTCCTCCAGCATCGACCCCGAACATCACGATCCCTTGATGGTGTACGAGCACTTCATTGTTATATTCCTGTATAGAGTAGCAGGGGTATGTGGTTCATTCGCTCCAAGCCTCAAAAGTCGTGCTCTAATTTTATCATGATACAGTCTCTTTGTCCTACGAGCATCACTAAGGCCTGATTCTCCACCTACTTTGCCACTATAATTCACGCCACCATGTCGAACCGCTCCCCATTCAGCTCATCTCAAACTCACCTCGAGCGCACTATGTCTTCTAGCCCATCGGACACCCGATCACGGCGACGAGGCCCTCGGACTCTCCCCTCCAGTCCAACATCCCGACCAACCTCCCTCGCCGTCGAGCCCAAATCCGAATACCTTCGAGACATTCTTCGCGACAAGTCCGCCCGACATGACCGCGCCCGGTCTACACCCAGGCGGCCGGATTCCCAATCAGGGCCAAATAGTACGGCTTCCTACATCGATAGTTGGGTTGCGGCGATTGAAGATGACCACCCCAATAACCCTATACGACCTGTACGCCCACGGACGAGGAGGGCCAGCTCCGTAAATACCGCAGCAAATGAAGGGAAGATTGCCCCGGGAATCCAAAGGGGCTTGTCTATGAAAGATATGGATACGTTGCTGGATAAGCAGTCGAAGGAGAACTTTGATTTGAAGTTGCGTATCTGTTTGCAGGAAGAGAAGATGAAAAAGCTTGGGAAGGAGCTTGAAGAGACGCGAGAGATCGTCGAGGAGTCGCGAGGTCTCCGAGAAGAGGTGGCGACGTTAAAACAAGAAAAGACGGAATCGCAACAACAGATGGAGGCATTGCAAGCCGAGAACGAAGAGCTGAGGAAGGTGAATGACGGGAATTTGGCGGTCTACGAAAACGCACTAAAAGTGCTGGAAGAGCGCGGTGTGGCACTCGACGAAGCCGCCGAGATCATCCATGATCTCCAACACCGCCTGACCGAGCTAGACACCGCATACGAGACCCTTAATAGGTCTACCACTACCGCCGTCGAAGCTCACGACTCCGCGTACGCCAGCGCCGAACCCTCCATCAATCACCAGCTCTCTATACACAACCCCAAAGTCCCTGTACATGTCCGATCTCGAGACGATCTCGACCTTCCCAAAGACATCCGCCCACCAACATCCTATTATGACTCCGACTACTTCAGCGCCAGCGCTTCCTCGCCACGTACGGAGCCGAACACCCCGAGGTCACTGCCTCGGACAGGTGGAATCTCACAAGGACGATATCCCTACCCCGCGAAAGCTGGTGGCGTCAATCGCCATGCCACTGACATTACTGGCTCCCGAGAATCCATCCGCAGCAGCAGCTCGGATGGGCGAGAAAACCCCCGTGGCGCACCGCATGCTCGTGACCTCGTTTTTCAGTACGGCACGCAGCACCCACGGCCACTTACGCGAACCGTACGAACCAGCTCGCCAGTAAGAGCAAGCGGGGTAGTTGCATCCTTTGCCGAACGCCAGAAGATTGCTGGCCTGCTCCCGTCATCCTTGCTGAACGAGAGCATCGGTGGTTTCAACGCCAGCGGTCATGAAAACAATGCCGCAACGCCAACACAAAGTTCAACCGCGCAGCCATACTCAGCAGGATTGAACACGTACCCACATCCACACCCCGCCCTCCGTGCCGTCTACCTCACCCATCCCCCTGATGGCGTTTCTCGACCCCCACCCTCCCTTTCCCAGCAGAATCCCAACTCCTCGCACCCACCCATGCTCTCCTGCTCGCCCGCCGACCCCGTCAGGTCCCGCCCATCTCATCCTCCCCCGGGCCTCAAGTTTGGGGACACTGACGACGACTTCGAAGAAGGCGATACGACACTTGTACCAGAGGATGACGTTGCCGGGCTCGCCGGCGCGCTAAGTGTCAAGAGTCTGGGCAGGTATAGCGAGGGCGATGCGCGGACCGATGCAGCGACGGACGCGGGGACCGAGGTGGACGTAGATATAGGGAATCAGGGGCTAAGACGATATCCGGAGTGGCCCGGATCGTCGATGGGGATGAGCTTGAACAACCCGAGAGGCTGCGGGAAGACCGTTGGGGGTGATAGGAAAAGGAGTGTGAGTGATATGGGAAGGCGGATGGCTGCTCCTCCTGCGATGCATGGCGACCTCATCCCGGTGGAAAAGCAAGAACTCGACACCCGTCTGGGGAAAATGGATGAGAAGCGTGAAGGAAGACGCGAAAGTCGGAGGGAAAGCTTGACCAGGCGGTTAGAGCCACCGGCTGGATTTCTAAGCTTCGGGAAATTTGGGAGGAAGGGGTGAAATTGACTCATCATGGTGGAGAGGGAGATTCTGAGATTATCCAGGTGGCATTGTGAGGCGTTCCGGTCATGCTCGCGGTATGCGAAGTCGGCATTAGGAGTTCGTGTATTGTACCGATCGGAAATCGCTGATGAGAAAGACTTAGGAAAAATTCTAAGAAACCGTAACACTTCATTTGCAAGAATTTACTAGAGGCAGCTACCACAAAGCCAAATTTTAGGGAACGCAGAATAGTGTAAGCAGATTTATCTACGTGCAGGTGTGATTTACCAACATCCATTACACAACGTTGTTGCTCTTATTGATATCGTTGTTGACGTTGACGTTGTTGACTTCATTTCGCTGACGTCGGAAATTGATCGGAGTTTCGGAGATTCAAGGCACGTGACACTCGACTCCTTATCGAATGAGGGTTAGCGTATATTAATGCACGTGACATTCATGACGGCAGCTCCCAAGCTTCAGTCCAACTGTCTTAGGCAGATGCATTCTGGTGAGTGATTCAACATACAAGACCTCCGTTCTCATCGTTAACCGCCGTGTTATCCCGAAATCGAGAGGAGCAAAGCATTATCTTGGTCCTTTGCCTACGAGGCTACGAATCAAGATGGCTCCTCACAAGGATACGTTCTTCCGCTCGGCGGAGATGTCCTTGACCCAGCTCTACATCGCCAACGAGATAGGGCGTGAAGTCGTCAGCGCCCTTGGAGAGCTCGGTGTCATGGACTTCCGAGATGTATGTAGATGGAGTGCAAGTTATTGGGTGTGTATAGTGAGCTAACGGGAATCCCACAGCTGAACTCGGAAACAACTGCCTTTCAGCGAACGTTTACCCAAGAGATCCGCCGACTTGACAACGTAGAACGCCAGCTGCGTATGGAGGTCTACCATCTCTGCCCTCAATAATTTTGCTAATGCTGCTCAGGATATTTCCATGCCCAGATGGACAAAGCGGCTATTCCGATGAGATCCATCTATGAATTCAACAATACCTTCGCTGCTCCCACCGCCTCCGAAATCGACGAGCTGAGCGAAAGGGCCGGAAGCTTGGAAAACCGTATTGCATCCTTAAACGAGAGTTACGAGACTCTGAAGAAGCGTGAAGTAGACTTGACGGAGTGGCGTTGGGTGCTTCGTGAAGCTGGGGGCTTCTTTGACCGAGCTCGAGGACAGACCGACGAAATCCGCCATTCTGTCGATGACGACGATGCTCCTCTTCTTCGCGACGTCGAACAGCCTACGTTGTCCGGTGATGCCCAAGGGGAGGCATCATTTTCGGTAATGAATATTGGGTTCGTGGCTGGCGTGATTCCTCGAGAGCGTATGCCATCCTTCGAACGTATCCTCTGGCGAACGCTTCGTGGGAATCTCTACATGAACCAATCCGAGATTCCAGAGCCTATCATCAACCCCGAGACCAACGAAGAAATCAGCAAGAATGTGTTCGTCATCTTCGCTCATGGAAAGGAAATCATTGCCAAGATTCGCAAGATCTCCGAGTCTCTCGGTGCCGACTTGTACAACGTTGATGAAAACAGCGAGCTACGTCGTGACCAAATACATGAGGTCAACTCTCGCCTTAGTGACCTGGAATCTGTCTTGCGGAATACAAAGACGACTCTTGACGCTGAGCTCACTGCAATCGGTCGAAGCCTTGCTGCCTGGATGGTGATCGTTAAGAAAGAGAAGGCGGTTTACGAGACCATGAACAAGCTGTCGTACGATCATGCTAGGAAGACGCTCATCGCTGAAGCCTGGTGTCCTACAAGCGGTCTGGGATTGATCAAGTCGACTCTGCAGGATGTGAACGATCGCGCTGGGCTTTCGGTTCCTACCATCGTCAACCAGGTCCGCACAACCAAGACACCGCCCACATACGTCAAGACGAACAGGTTCACTCTGGCGTTCCAAACCATCATCGATGCTTATGGCACCGCCAAGTACACCGAAGTCAATCCTGGTCTTCCTACAATCGTCACCTTCCCATTCCTGTTCGCCGTTATGTTCGGCGACTTTGGACATGGCCTCATCATGACCCTCGCTGCCTGTGCGATGATATTTTTTGAAAGGAAGCTTCTCCGAAGCAAATTGGACGAGCTGTTCTCGATGGCATTCTATGGCCGATACATCATGCTCATGATGGGAATTTTCTCGATCTACACCGGTCTCATTTATTGTGACGCATTCTCCAAAGAACTGGCCATCTTCCCTTCCATGTGGAAGTGGCCAACAGATTTTGAAGTGGGCGACAGTGTTCAGGCAACGCGTGTAGAGGGCTATACCTATCCATTTGGCCTGGATTGGGGCTGGCATGACACGGAGAACGATCTCTTGTTCTCCAACAGCTACAAGATGAAGCTCAGTATTCTCCTCGGATGGGCCCACGTAAGATTCCCCTCGTTTGTTTTTGATCCAACGCTAACCAGTCTAGATGACATGTTCTTTGGTCCTCTCCTTCGTAAACGCACGGCACTTTAAGAAGCCAATCGATATCTGGGCCAACTTCGTCCCTGGCATGATCTTCTTCCAGTCGATCTTCGGTTACTTGGTCTTCGCCATAGTCTACAAATGGACCATTGATTGGTACGCGATTGGCCAAGCCCCGCCCGGACTCCTGAACATGTTGATCTACATGTTCTTATCTCCCGGCACGATCGAAGCGCCTCTTTATCGCGGCCAAGGGACTGTTCAAGTCATTCTCATCCTCCTTGCTGTCATATGCGTTCCTATTATGCTCTTCCTGAAGCCATTCTATGAGCGATGGGAGCACAACCGCGCACGTGCTTTGGGATATCGCGGCATCGGAGAGAGCACGCGAGTCAGCGCCTTGGACGATGACGACGATGAAGAAGGCCAAACGCTTAACGGTGGCCGGGACAGCTATGGAGATGATGACGAGGGTGTGGCTATGATCACTCAGGATATCGATCAAGGCGAGCATGAGGAGTTCGAGTTCTCCGAGGCTATGATCCACCAAGTCATCCACACCATTGGTATGTCATATCCGGCTCTTCTGCAATTTCCTGCTAACTCTGACCACAGAATTCTGCCTCAATTGCGTTTCTCATACTGCGTCTTACCTCCGTCTTTGGGCCCTTTCACTTGCTCATCAGCAGCTTTCCATCGTGCTCTGGGACATGACCCTCAATACTGCATTTAGCATGACCGGTGCCAAGGGAGTCTTTGCTACTGTCTGCCTGTTCTACCTCTGGTTCACACTCACAGTGTTCGTCTTGTGTATCATGGAAGGCACGAGCGCTATGTTGCATAGTTTGCGTCTCCACTGGGTTGAGGCCATGAGCAAGCATTTTATTGGGGATGGGGTGAGTACTCTCTTGAATATTGCCGTGCAATCGCTGACCATGACCAGATTCCCTTCCAGCCGTTCAGTTTCAAGATATTATTAGAGGAGGAGCCGATAGAATGATTCCGCTCTTGATTTTCCTACAGTAGTGTACATATAGATCTGTATAATTCCGATCCCAGATTTTGGTCGAGACAACCACCATGAACCATCTATATCTTTTGAATGCCGAAGAAGTAGTTTCCCACGCTCTCACTTCCTGGAACTTCCTTCCATCCCAACCCCGGGACGTAGACGACCCCCATGGTTCTCGAATTCGACCATCCATCTTGCTGGGCGAACCAACCCCGCAGCTCGCTATCATTGATATATTTATTCCAATCGTGGGTGCCTTTCGGCACGATCCCCACGATATCCTCCGCGATGAGGTTCGTAGTCAACCAGCTCATCCACGTCCGCGAGATCGTGCTCATGATGATCCATCCACCCGGTTTGACTAGCGGCATGACCTTCAGTAAGAAGGACGACGGATACGGCACGTGCTCGATGACCTCGAAGACCGTGACGATGTCGTATTGCTCCGCCTCGCTTGTAGGGACCGGCAGCTTCTCAATCGCCGTGTTTATGTAGGTCAGCCGCCCCGGCTCCATCAGCAGCGGATCGCGCCTCGCGTGATCTTTGGCGACCTGGATGACCGACTCCGATGGGTCGATGGCGGTCACGCTGGCGGTGTGCGACTGTCGCGCCGCGCTCTCGGCGAAGATTCCGCCGCCGCACCCTATATCTAGGTATCGCAGTTTTTTGTGTGGACGAGCTTCGGAGGATGCCCGGCATCGGGTAATGAAGTCGTGGCGGAGAGGGTTCATGAGGTGGAGAAGTCGAGATGGGCCATGGGCGTCCCACCAGCTGGAGGCCAGCGCATTGAAATGGCTTATTTCGGTATGGTCGACGGAGGTGGGGATATTGCTAGCATTGTTTCTCGGGGTACCCGAGTGGAAATGTCGGGTGGATGGGTATCTTCCAATGTAGAACGCTCGAGGGCGGAGAAGCACTGCTCGGAGGATCGGCGTCAGACGAGTCTTGGACGCCATCGGAGGAATCTCGAGGTTGATGTGAAAGGAAACGGCCAGGTTATGGAGGGGAAAACATTTCGATTATACGTTGGGCATAGGGACTATTATAGTTGCTCAAAGGCGAGCCATGTTGTGGTGGGTGAGTTCAAAAAATGTTCCAGCATTGTGTTCTGGGCGAGTTCTATCACGACATAAATATACAGTACCAAGCCCTGGTGCCATGGATATGCCGTCCAAACGCTGGATTCCGTAGCCCCTCCAACAACTCTAACATAATTTTACACTGGATTCAAAACGCCGTCCCATATGCAAGTTATCCCCTTGCCCGGTTTAATGCCAATAATTCGCGCCTCTTCGCTCTCAATTCGTCCAGCCTTCCTGTTCCTCACTCCTCGCCTAACTCCTTCTTCCACCGATGAAGGTAAAACCTCCCACTCCACCTATCTTTCATGTAGGGATATTTCTCGTCATAGTAATACGGGTTCCTCAGCGTGCGCGGCTTGTCTGGATTCGAAGTAGAGGCGATTCCATGTCCTCTTGCAACGAAGGGCGTGAGCTGAAGGATAACCTGGTTTAGCGACGGATTCTGGCATCGTTCAACCCGGCGGACTCACCATGCAATCATCGAGGTACATCGGACGCACATATGTCCGCACCTTCGAGTAATCCACTCGGTAAATCGCGAAAGGGAATCTTGGCCGACCGTCCGCGTGTTGATTGAAATGGCCCATCGATCCGGTTCCTGTGCCTTTGTAGAAGCCTTTCCTGGCCCTCTTCGTGGTCAGGGCGAGGCGGCGAAGAGCCCGCGACAGCGGCATAGTCGGTGTGAACATTATGGAGGGATGAGAGAGCGTCGGCGGGTGGACCGCAGGACGACAATTGAACGGTTGACTGACAGCCGATACGTTAACCTGAATCCTGATATCTCAAGGGAACCTGATATCTAGAATTTGAAGAATAGCGGGTTTCACGTGACCGTGCACGTGACCTACAGGGATTAGCTTTCAGGGTTCAATTCTTTCCCTCGAAATCTTGGCAAAGGAGTTGGAATTTCGACTTAAAATTCCCTTGATCCCGTTTTCGAACAGCGGTACCCATCATTATCAGCACTCTCTTTCGAATTTTACCTCAAAATGGCACGGCGGATCTCTAGACCATCTGGTACTACACAGCCGAAAGCTCCAAAGCAAAAAAGGACCAGCGCTGCACAAAAGCGAAGTTTGAATGCCTTCTCGCTTGCCGGAGCCGAGGAGGCGGAAGACGTACGAATTCCCGCACATCGACTAGGCCAGCTTGAAGATGATGAGGCCCGGCACCCTAAGCGAAGACGTATTGAGGACGAGGAAGAGGACGATGAGTCTGAGAAAGAGCAAGCACGCAGGGAGCGCTATGGTTCCATTTCTGAGGGCGAGGATAGCGAGGGCAATACCTGGAAGATGGGATATGTTAGCGCCGATGATGATAGCGAAATCGACAGCGACGAAGCCTTTGGCGAAAGCGATGAAGAGCGATTCGCCGATTTTACTTTTCGAGCCAGCTCAAAGAACCGCAAGCGACCGCAAAAGAAGGCGAGAGACGAGAAGGACATAAACCTGGACGAAGACGACGAGCAGATGGGTTCCGATAGCGACGACTCGAGCCTGGGCGAAGATGCTGTCGACCTTGCGACTATGCTTGACAACTACAAAGAGGGTTCCGACAGTGAGGACGACGAATCTGCCGGTTCAGGGGACGAGGAGTCAGAAGGATCGGACGACGCTTCTAGCGAAGACGAAGATTCGGATGCGGAAGAAGACGAGGACCAAGATAAAGAGAAAATCACTCAACTACACGATCTCATCTCGTCGATGCAGCCTCAAGAGATGTCCAAATCAAAGCAATCCCGTGGTGTGGATCGATACGAACATCAACCCATGTCGGCGTTCGGCATCACCGCGAACAAGAAGCTGACTATCGATGATTTGCTACCAACAATTGCCGACCCCGCCATGAGGAAGTCGCTGAAGAGCATGGCAAAAGACAAACCTGCGAAAGGTGCATTAGGAAAGCTCGAGGCCCCCCTTCCAAAGCGCAAGCAGGACCATATGGATCGAGTCGCTGCAAACGAGAAGGCAAAAGAGACGCTGGACCGATGGGTTGAAACCGTCAAACAGAACCGTCGTGCCGAACACCTCCAGTTCCCCCTGCGCGACCCCAACGCCTCTGAGCCATTTGGAAAGACCAAGCTGCTCCCTGCGGACGCCACCACGCCTCTCAACGATCTAGAAAGTACCGTGCAGAACATTCTCCGCGAGAGCGGGCTAGTCTCAGCGGATGGGAAGGCGGACGAAGAAGCAATCAAGCACTTCGAAGAGCTGCAGGAGAAGAAAATGTCCGTGGACGAGGTCCTCGCGGCGCGCGCGGATCTACGAAGGCAACGCGATTTGCTGTTCCGCGAGGAGATCAAAGCGAAACGCCTCAAGAAGATCAAGAGCAAATCCTTCCGCCGCGTTCATCGAAAAGACCGCGAGCGGGCTGCGCAGCAGGAGAAGGATGCGCTGGCCGCTGCGGGCTTGTATGACTCGGACGAGGATCGGGACAAGAATGATCGCCGGCGGGCAGAGGAGCGGATGGGTGCGAAGCACCGGGAGAGCAAGTGGGCGAAGGCGATGAAGGAGAGTGGTCGGTCGGTTTGGGATGAGGACGCAAGGGGAGGCATCGTGGAGATGGCCCGTCGCAATGAAGAACTACGGAGAAGGATCGAGGGCAAGACAATCCATGATGAGGCGAGCGACATCGGGTCCGAGTTTGATGATGACGAGGACGATGACAGCGATGATGACGAAACCGCGAGGAAGAAGATCAATTCAACGCTATCTAGACTACAGGACGCTGATCGGGACGCTGGCTCGGGCTCGACACTCGGCTCGCTAAAGTTTATGCAAAGAGCCGAGGCGGCAAAGAAGGCCGAGAACGACGCGGCGATCGCGGAGCTTCGCAAAGAGTTGGACGGGGATTCCGGCAGCTCGGACAGCGATGCGGAAGCTGGTCCGTCCGCTGGGCGCATGAAGTTCGGGCCTGCATCAGAGATCGCTCCTGGGGTCATTTTGAAAAGTCAACGCAACGAGTTCGAGGAGCCGGACGCTTCGGATCAGGAGAAGGAGCAAGGCCAGACTGACGACGTAGTCGTCACTGAAAAACGCCAAAAGAAGGGTAGCCGTGCTCAGCCACTCAGAAACGCGGCGAAGGAGAAGCCCGAAAAGCATGACTACGTCGAACTGGTCGTGGAGGACAATCCATGGGCTCCAACCGTGGCTCCGGGCAAGGGCAAGAAATCGAAATCAACGTCTTCCGCTGAGAAGATGGGACCGTCCACCGATGTCCTCTTGCCTACTCCGAACGGATCCAAACCCAAAGCGACAGCAAACGGCGCGCGACCTACCAGAACCAAAGAGGCGGTCGATATCCGCCTGACTGAAGATGCGAACGAATCCGACTCCTCAGACGACGGCCTCACCGACGCAATGAAGCGCAACCACGCGCTCGTGCAGCAAGCGTTCGCCGGCACGGACCTCGCAGAAGATTTCTCCAAGGAGAAGCAAACGACCATCGCCGACGAAGACGACAAGGTGGTCGACAACACGCTTCCGGGGTGGGGCAACTGGGCGGGCGAGGGGGTGAGCAAGCGGGAGAAGGCAAAGGGGAAGGGACGGTTCCTGACGAAGGTGGAGGGGATCCGGCCGGAGGCGCGGAAAGACGCGCGGCTGAAGAACGTGATTGTGAACGAGAAGCGGGTGAAGAAGAACGCGGCGTATCTGGCGTCGACGCTGCCGTTTCCGTTCACCGACAGGGATGAGTACGAGCGGAGCATTCGAATGCCGATGGGGAGGGAGTGGTCAATGGACAAGCCGAAGCCGAGGGTTATGGTCAAGCCTGGGAAGGTTATTGCGCCGTTGGAGAAGCCTCTTTTGTAGGATTTTAAGGCTGCTAGGAAAAGTACATCAATATATCAATGATAATGGACCAAGCCGTCCGGACTAGGGAATATTCCAAAGCAATTTCTAAGTTCCTTAGGACCTTGTACACTGCCGTTAATTCGGCACACCATAATTAACCGGTCCTCCGCGGAGAGCGGCACTGTACGCCAGGGACCAAGTTCTGATGCGGCGTTAGCACATATTCATTCAAGGTCTTGAGGAGTCGACGCCTGCCTGGACTGCCCAGAATCTAGGAGATCCATGTTGAAATCTGGAGCACTGAAGAAACGGAATACCCCATCCGGGTCGATTATCGATTGGTTCAACTTCAGGATCCCCCGCCAGCCGCCTTCGACCTTCTCCGCGCGCCCGTTACCGAAGTAAGTCTTCCACTCTTGTTCCACTGGGATGACTGTCAGTGAATAGTATTGTTATTAATTTATTCCCTTACCGAAGTCCCTTTGTCGAGTGTAGGCGGACACAGCGCTAACGGGAAGCATGTGAATGCCTTGAATGAACTCACTATTCGCGCCCTAGGGAACAAAGTCAGTTATCGACGCCAGAACCACCGCGGCTGGTAGACCACATACGAAGTAAGTGGTATGGTGGCACTTGTTCTCGAACAAGATCCCCGGCACACGATTCTTAATGAACTGCTCCGGTTGATTCGGATTATCGTCCTTCATCAAGAAGTACGCATGAAATGCCCGGCGCTGGATGGCAAGCATGAGCGCGCCACGACTCTCTATAGCTCGGTCGTTGGAAGCCCGGCCGTACATCATCACGGCATAGGATGCGAAGCTATCTTCACTGGTGCTCTCTTGGTCCTTGCCATCGCCGCTTTCGAAAAGCCCCTTTGCCTGGTTCATGTGAGCATCCGAATCAGAACCGAACGGGGTCGGTCAAGAATTCAACAAGGCCAGATACTCACCCATGAATGGCCATGCCACCAATCGAAGGCTCGCGAAGAGGGATAATGCTTATCAGTGATCGGATTTGCAAAGTCGCGGAGAAGCGAATCGACCCAGGCCTTGTTTCTTCCTTCGCCAAGCCAGGACGGGAAGAACGTGGCCAATACTGAAGCTGTGTAGACGAAATATCCTACGATGAAGAGAGATGTCAGCTGCGCTGGATCGGTTTACCAAAAAGAACTGTTTACCATAGTGGAAATGGTGGTCATTGTAAAGTGTTCCACCGAAGTCCTTCTCTTTGTTGACATATCCCGCGCTGGAGACAATCCCTTTAAACATCTGGTCATATACCAAGGGGTTTTCCTGCTTGTTCTGAACAAACAGCGCGAACTCTTCCTTCAGTTTAGCCAGGCATTTGTCTCGTAGCTCAGTGAGACCTGCAAGATCAAGGGCGCAGGTCATCATAGCCCACTTTCCGAACGCTTTCCCGGAGTAGTACATGCTATCACGGTAAGCCTGCTCGTGAAGATTCTGTTCCACCTCTATCACTGCCGCAGATTTGATTTCATCAATGGCCACGAGAGAAAGGCTAGGAGCAGGATTCCCGGGAGACCACGGAAACAAGCCAATGTCCATTGGGAGGCTGTCTTCGACCATAGTCCATTGATCAGCGAGGACTCCCGTTGCTCTGCCTTTGGTCGGGGAGACGAGCTGTAAGGGCGTCTTCGCTTTGGCTGTTGTTTCGTCGAAGGAATCGACAAGATGTGGAAGAGCGTACCTGATGATCGTTAACACTTCCCTGGCATAGATTGGATTGATTAATCTCACATTAACAGTGGCTTTGAGGTATCCCCCCGTTTCTCAAACTTGAACGTGTACTCCCCAGTCTTCCCCGTCACGGTGCTGGAAATTGTTGTTCCGATTGCATATGTGCCTGCACTCTTGTCGAATATCTCATCAGTGGCACCGAGTGGGATTTTTGCAATCTGCACTGTTCCTGTAAAGGCTTCGGGTCCTTGAACTAGGCCAGTGGTTCCTAAGTTGAACAGAACAGGACTGTTAACAGAATCTGGCGAGGGCGTGGCATACAGCACCCAATTCGTTCCTATATGAAACCCGGTCAACTGGAATGCAACCTGTGGAAAATCCGGTGAACTTACCATCATACAAGGACATATGGTATTTAGAGATGGTGTTTGAAATGGTGTTACATGCCGCGAACGTGGAGATTCCCACTGACGACTCGATGGACGGAGTGCAAGAGTAGCACAAGGCCGTTATGAAGCCCATCCCCATGACCTAGCGCCACGTTACTGTTCTTGGCCCATATTGTTCGGTAGGTCGGTTACATACCACTGGGAATGTGAGAGCATGACTTTGTCCGCCGGTGGGTCCTAGATTTGCATTGCAGCTAAATTCGGAATGCGAATCGGTCTTAAGTACTGTATCCTGTTTGAGCTCCAAGGCGGATAAAATGATAGACTGGATCCCTGTTTGGCATCAGCCTGACTGGGCTCCCTATTAGACAGTATGCCGCAAACCAGTGGGATTGGAATAGTACTCCGGGGCCCCATTGTCTTGCAGCGGACCAAACAGAACCTGCTGTCTCTCGATATGCGTGATACTCATCCCATAGCTTTTCGTATCCCCACTTCCCTTCGACCAAGTCAACGAGTACGGCTGTGTCCAAACAGGCTGGGATTGCCCTCCCAGGATGAAGTTTGCCCAGAACTTATTTGTTGGAATGGGGGGGCACTTTTTGCATGACTCCAATGAAAGAAGCCTCCCCTGAACCTGGAGCGGATTGGTGCGTTTCACCATGCCGATGTGTTGTACGGGGTACTTCTTCGCTTCAACGTTGACAATCTGCGAAGGTGGGGCGACATCATCCATTGCCCTGAAGACATCGATCTTCTCCCCCGATAGGCTGCTCATTGTTGGAAGCGATGTCTCCGCAGGTTTCTGGGTCGAACATTGTTGAGATGATGGTTCCATAGGAAATAGTCACGGGCTATTTTTCAGATCTACCGTCCCTAACCCGAAATCAAATCAGACACTCTGGATCGGTAACGAAACGCTGTCCCCCACGGGTTGCATATATGTTGTAGACTGTGGTTCTTTGGTAAAGGTCTAGGATTGGAGGGCGACGACGGGATAGATTGAGTATTGCGACTAAGAATAGACCCGTTGCTGTAGGATTGAGAAGAAAAGCTGAGGTTAGGATATGTAGGAGTTGACGAAATCGAGACAGAAACACGAGGAAGATGTCCTGTCAATTACAGTGTCGGTACTGTACTGTAAGTACGAGGATGCATATGAGGAAAGAGCGACTTCCCCCTCTCCTGCACCTGAATTCCATCTCTAAGTTCCATCTCGAATGACGAGACTATTGAGAGCTCCCTAGCTGGTCTAACCTGATCGCAATGAAGTTTGATATACCAATATGGCAGTTCTAGTCGAGCAGAAGAGAAGAAATATACAGATCTACATGGACTTAATGAAAAGGAGAGTTTTCCAGGACGGGTCTTCATCGGGGTTGGACCTGCACACTGCCAGGTACCTACCGTGAAGGAGAGCTGTGTTGGAGTGATGGAAAAGGTGAGCCGGATCAGCCAGGAAGCAATCAGGCTCGGCGTACTCCGTACACCACAGTTCTTACCTTTGCGATGGATTTGGAGACAACATCTCAGCTCCATCATCCATGACTTCTTCTATCTTGATTCTTTGACATTCTGGGACTTGATGTTGTTAGTCCTTTCTGCTGGTGTGTTCTTGACTTCTTGTTCTCTATGCAAGCCGGGCTGAATAAGATCTGTAGGAAGCCTGGATGCATGCTGATTGACAGAACAGATCAATGCATGCCACACGGCAAGCAGCATTGTCTCAGTATAAATTGTCTGCATTGAGCCTGAGGCGTTGGGGCCTGAGGCGTTGAGGCCTGACTCGTGGCACGCGTATCCTGAGCCTCCGCCAATCAGACATCATGGGGATCAGGGGAACGCGTGACAAGTCGTGACGCGGTGCGTTGTCCAGCATTCCACGGCCGACATACCGAGCTCAAGTCATACCTCCACACCGACTTTCGGGGAGTTGTCGGTTGGGTCTCTCATGAACAAGAAAAATCATTTGGATCGTGACTTTAGACTGGTATCTTCCGTTTGGCTTGCCGGTGCCGGTTTCACTTGCTGCGCCTTTCCAGCCTCGCCCGTGATTGCAGTTGTGGCGGTTATCCAGTTATCAAACATCGATCAACCGCCGCCCTCCAGCAAACATCATCATTTCACTTTATTAGGATCTGAATCTTTGATCTCGAAGCTTGGGGCAAATGTTTTGGTTGTAAATTCTGGAGAAAGTTTAGACCCACTCGATTCCTTATTTTTTCCCCATCGTTCTCTTCTCCAACTGTCTCACTTCTCTCTTGTTGTTTAAGAACTAAGAAGCTATCCTTGGATAGGCACGAATCTCACTGAACACATTTCATCCGTTGTCGTTTAAATAATCAGTGTCATCCAACTGTGAGGAGCAGAAGGCCAGCTTGTCTTTTTCCCGGCTCTCTTGTGCCCAGAAAATTGCGATATATCGAGCGAACTGCCTTGCTTTCCATCTGTCACTTAGTTTCCACCCTCTTCTACCGTTCGCCTTGGAACTATTGACCTCATCCCATCCTCATTTGATTTCCTTGATTAACAAGCACCTCAGTACACCTAACAATCTTTACACATTGCCTGACCATGTCAACTCGCGGACGTGGGGGCGGACAAGGCCGCGGCGGAGGACAGGGTCGCGGCGGAGGACAGGGTCGCGGCGGAGGACAACGTGGTGGCGGAGGACAAAATAGTGGTGGGGCCTCGCGAGGCGGAGGCCAGGATTACAACCAATTCCGTGACACTCTGACCGACCGATCCCGGGGCGGAGGTTCCGGCGGTGGCTATCAAGGGCGAGGCGGAGGTTCGGGCGGTGGCTATCAAGGGCGAGGCGGAGGTTCGGGTGGTGGCTATCAAGAGCGAGGCGGAGGTTCGGGCGGTGGCTATCAAGGGCGAGGCGGAGGCTCGGTCGGTGGCTATAGAGGGCAGCGCGGAGGACGAGGCGGTGCCAGCTACGGTGGTGGTCCACGGATTCCATTACACCCTGACGAGGTGGACGCCCCCCTGGAATCCATCACCAAGTACGAGGACCAAGCCCTCAAACGTGAGGCAACATGGGACTTTACTCCGCGGCCAAGTTACCTCACCAACAACGACGGAAAGCCTTTCAACATCATAACCAATTACTTTGGGATGAAGCTACCGGAAAATTTCACCATTCACCGGTATGCGATCAAATTCACCGGGGCCAACGCGAAGTCGATCAGTCGGCCAAAAAAACGGCGTGTTGTTCAACAGCTGCTTGGGCAATCCCGTTTCGGTAGGATGATCCTCGGGACGGACTACGCCAATACGATCTTGTCGACGAAAGAGATCGCTGAGTTCTCAAATCCAAAAGATTACACGGTCAAATACTACCACAGCTCAGAAGATCCCCCGAGGGAACAAGCCTTTAACGATGCCGGGTTCGCCAGTCGACGTCGCTTTGTAGTCTCTATCTCAAAGACGGACAGCATCGAGGCCTCGACACTGGAAGCTGCTCTCCGGGCTCCAGGGAATGTAGCATACAATCTCGCCCTCTTGGACACCATCGTCCAGTGTCTCAACATCATGGTTGCTCGTTCACCACTCATGAACCAGGATCATCTCGCCGCTCTCGGACAAAACCGCTTCTTCAGACGTACGGGGGAGTTCATCGATCTCGGTGAAGGACTGATGGCCCACCGTGGCTACTTCTCATCCGTCAGGCCTGTTAGCGGACGTCTGTTGCTGAATATTAACGTCACAAACGCTGCGTTCTACCAGGCTGGGCCACTCATCGAGCTGATGCAGAGTTTTAAGGCGCGTAAAACCGTCAACCCGCAGCTCCTTAAGAAACTTGAACTCTTTCTCCAAGGCGTCACGGTGGTGGCAAGTCATAGACGCGGGGACGATGGAAAGCCAGTGAAGAAGGTTTACACTATCATGGGCCTTTCGAAAACGCGCTCTGGCCCTGCGGGTACCTCTTTCGAAACACCAAATGGCCCCAAGAGTGTTTTTCAGTACTTTGCGGAAACGTACCCGCATGTGAACTTGGTGGGCGAAAACTTGCCTGTGGTCAATGTGGGCACCTTGAAGAAGCATATGTACCTCCCGGCATCGGTCTGCGAGGTGCTGCCTGGACAAGCAACCCGAGTGAAGCTAAACGACGAGCAAACGAGCACCATGATCACATTTGCTGCCAAAACTCCGAACGCCAATTTCACCTCCATCAAGGCGGGTGGCACGGACGAGTTGGGCCTCAATGGGACCGATGGAAGATCGCTAAAGGGTTCTTGGGGCGTCGATGTCGACACCTCGAAATTCGTCTCCGCCCCAGCCCTTCTACTTCGAAGGCCCACGCTGGGCACTGCGAATAACAAGACCGTGCTCGTCAATGACACCGGGCGGTGGGACTGGCGGGACAAAAAGTTCTTCCGCCCCGCGAACGTGGGCAAATGGGCCGTCGTCTTTTTGATGCCGGCTGGTGGCCATAATCCTTGGCCTCAAAACATGCAAGAGCAGGCGATGAACAACATCAAGAACGAGTCGTCCAAATATGGAGTCGCCTTCGGAGCTCGAGGGGCGCCGCGTTCGTGCGTCATGTCCCTGGGACCGCAACCTGCGGACCGTGCCAAGGACGAGCAGGCTCTGAATTCTCTCTTCGCACAGCTTCAGAAAGAAGGGACGCAGATGGTGATCATTTTCCTGCCGAATACAAACACATGGCTGTACTCGAGGATCAAGTTCCTGCTTGATGTGAAGTACGGTATCGCGAATGTGTGCCGACAGAGTTCCAAGTTCTTCAAGAATCCTACGGATGTCGGGCTCGCCGCGAATATTGCCTTGAAAGTGAATGTGAAAGCTGGGGGGATAAATCACAAGACGACATATCCTGCACTGGATAAGGACACGATGGTGCTTGGAATGGATGTTACCCACCCGACGCAGGCATTTGCCGGACGCGATCCGGAGAACGATGTCAGTGTTGCGGCGATGACTAGTTCCATTGACGAACATTTTGCCACGTATATTGCCGTGTCAGTCGCTCTATTCTTCTGCCTTTTCGATGGCGAATTAACCTCGCTCTTAGGTACTCTATCCAACGCGGCGGTCAAGAGATGGTCGACCAGACGCGTGACTTGTTAGTGCAGCTAATCCGGAAGTGGTCCCAGAAGAACGGACGCTTGCCCAAGAAGATCATCATGTACCGTGATGGCGTGTCCGAAGGCCAATATCTTCAGGTGAAGGCGAAGGAGCTCCAGTCCATGAAGGACGCCGTCAAGCAGATCTACAATGAGAAGCCAAAACCAAAAATCTTGCTGGCCGTAAGTAATACCCCTCCATCGCTTTACATCAAGCTGAGCTGATTGTCATAGGTGTCTGTGAAGCGCCACCACACGAGATTCCTCCCCGGCGCGCAGGACGCCGACCCGAGAACTGGAAATGCAAAGCCAGGAACCTTGGTGGATCGCCATATCACTGGCGGTGGTGATCGGCTGTTCGATTTCTTCCTCGTCAGCCATCGCGCAATCCAGGGCACCGCCAAGGGCGTCCATTACTGCGTCCTCGAGAACGAGATCGGCATGTCGGCGAAGGACTTCGTTTACGCGACCTATTACCTTTCCCATGTCCTTCCGCGCTCCACCACGGCCGTCTCCCTTGTCGCGCCAGCGCTCTGCGCCGACTTGGCCTGCGAGCGCGCGCGGAACTACATGTACAGCCGCTTCAACGGCGATAGCTTTTCCGATACCGCGTCGCAGGCATCTGGGACCAGCGGTCCCAGTGGCGATAACTGGGATGGAAAAGTTCATCCGAAGGTGGAGGATAAGATGTTCTACCTGTGAGCTTGTATCACGACCTCGACAATTTTGTTCGGCTGCGGCATCTTGGAGATGGCACTGGCAAGAGTGACCGTTTTTCCGCTGCATTTGGCGTTCGGTCCTTACTTTCCACTGTCTCATGTCTAGTGTCTCCTGGCGTCGCCTGTACGCATGGATAGCACCTCACTTCCGCCACGACCGAATACTTCCCATTGAAAGCTCTTATCGGAAGCCCTCCCTTTCTACTGCGATGTCACATCGCTTTCTGTTTCCAATCTAGGCTTTGATGTTTCGATTATGATGACAATGGTTACGATGATGTTGCGCAGTCGATCTCTTAGTTGAATACACCATAGGTTCATCACTCGGAATGTTTTACGGCCGGCTGCTATGGGCATTCTTTGGTCCAGTAGCTTCTCTTCATAAGAAAAATAGGAAAATTTTCAGTGTCTCAATCTCGGTGATTATGCGGCCGCTGGTTTTTCAACACCTTCAACAGGTGTGACTCCTATGATTTGTACCCTCAATCGCCGACTAACTAATGTGCGACGATTCAACTTGGGTTGCCCATGCAGCTCTATTGTGCAAGAGAACAGATTTTATCAAAACCCTCCAAGCCGCTGTCTATGCGTCTCGAACAACCGAAAACACCCAGCTTTTAAAGATCAAACGGCACAAATTACCGCTTGTTGAAATTCAAGAATCTCGCCTGAATGCAATTAGCTTCTGCATCGGGGTCCGAAAGGTGCTGAGTACTTACCGCGATGAATAGAATGATCAAATTGCTGCCAATGAACGCAGTGAAGATACCGAGATCCCTCCACCGATTGGCAAAGTCGTATCCCAGCGGGTTAAAGAACTCATCGCCCACGCGGAACGCACAATAACTGCAATCTTGGGTGTTGTTCTGCGCGATATAACCCGGCCCCCCGGCCGCGAAGTATGGCGCCATGTATTCCCCGCAGTCCATGCCCGGCGGCGACGTGAAGGTATTGAACTCCTGCGGCTTGCACTGCACGGGACGATCATGCAGCTCGGTCACGATCATGCCGCCGATGAGGCGCGTGAACGGGTCCAGCTGATACAGCCAGGCGCGCCAGAAGCCGGGGATCTGCGGCATGGGGATGGTGACGCCGCAGAAGAGGGCGAAGACGATTATGACGAAGGGGTTGGCGTGGGAGGCCATGAAGGGATCGGGGGTCAGCGCCGCGATCATCTGGCCCAGCGTCACGCTGAAGATCTCGGTGATCAGCACTATCAGGAACTGGTATCCGGCGCGGGACGTCGTCATTTGGAAACCGGGGATGTAGTAGATCGGCAGGAAGAAGACGATAGTGCACAGCACGTTGTACGGCATCTCCGCGAGCACCATGCTGAGCGCAAAAGGGAAGGTCTTGTACGCTTTGGCGGCCTGTTCCCGGAAGCTGATCATCCGGCACATGGCGTAGCGGGGTTCGACTTGCGCGAGGATGATGGCGGGCAGAACGGTGACCTGGAAGATAACGAAGACGCGGTACTGGAGCGAGGCGCGGGAATTGTCGAGGTTCAGGAACATGAGGCCAGTGAGCAGCGAGATGGCGAGATGGTTGAAGAGGCGGGTGAAGCCGTAGTTGGGTGAGCGCCAGAAGGCGAGCTGCATGCGCTTGTTAACGACCTTGATCTGGTGCCAGAGCGGCGTGGCGTATTCCTTTTGTTCAACCGGTGCGGCTTCGCCTACTTCCTTCATGCGCTGCTCCCTCATCTCGACGATCTGGCTCCGAGCGTGGGCGAACTCTTCCGAATCCTTCCAGATATCCGCCCAGTCTCGGTCACCGATCCGCGGCGTCTGGCCGGCACCGATGGCGTCGAGCATCCATTCGGCAGGGTTGGCATCAGGAGGGCAGAAAGCACCATGCTTCTTGAAATACTCGCGGAGCAGGACGGCGTCTTTGCCGATGTCGCCGAAATAGACGCATTGCCCACCCCGCTGCAGTAGGAGCAGTCGGTCGAAGTTCTCGAAAAGCGCCGAGTTCGGTTGATGGATCGTGCACAGGATGGCTTGTCCGGCAGCGGCGAGCTTGCGTAGGAAACGGACGATGTTGAATGCAGATTGAGAATCGAGACCGGAGGTTGGCTCGTCCAAGAAGAGGAGCAACTCGGGCTTCGCGGCCAATTCCACGCCAATGGTGACACGTTTCCGCTGCTCGACCGCGAGACCATTTTCCGGATCGCCAATGATTGCGTCGGCAATGTCCTCCATCTCGAGAAGGCCGATAACCTCTTCGCAGTACGCATGTTTCTCCTCTTGCGGAACGGACACGGGCTGCCGGAGTTCGGCACTGAATCGGAGAGCTTCGCGTACGGTCTGGGACGGTTCATGGACGTCGAGTTGTTCGGCGTAGCTTGTACCACGTTGGAATGCAGGCCCGGGTTCCTTTCCGTCAACCAGTTTATCTCCATAGATGATGCCGATGTTCTTGCGAGCTGCCAGGACATCCAGCAACGTGGTTTTGCCTGCACCAGATGCTCCCATCAAAGCTGTGAGCTGGCCAGGGCGAACGTAGCCGTAGATGTTGTTCAAGAGTCGAAGTTGGCCGCCCGAAACAGGGACATCGTAACAAATATCCTCCCAAGTCAGGATCGCTTTGCTTGCGATATTTAGCTCTGCGCCTTCTGCTTTGCTGGCTGTCCTGTTCAGCCTGTTGCTGCGCTTTTCTAGAAGTTTCTCGTTCAGCTTCTTTCGCTCGTCGTTTTCCTTAGCGAAGAAGGTCACGGTTCGACCTCCCGCGCCCCATTTGATATACTCGCCAAGGAACGCGTTCGTCATTAGGAACCCTACGATCAGGGCAACCATAATGCCAAAGTTCCTCCATTGGTCCGATGGAGTCCAATCGAATGCCGCTTCGATGTAGGTTTTCCCTGACACCATTCTGCTCCCAGGCTGACTGCCTTGCAGAGTGCAGGATTGGTGCAGGATGTCGTTGTATAGCCCCCCCAATTGACCTGTCAGATCCGAAGGCACGAGACTCTCCGCAGTGCACTCCAACTCCAGTTTACCAAACTCGTTCATCATGAGTGAGGAAAATCCGAGGCCGAGTGCATTGACGTAGAAGATCCAGCGGAGCCACACCTGCGAATCCTGGTAGCCGATGAGGTACCCGCATGTCAAGACGAAGAACGTGATGATGGTTGCCGCTAACCGAATGGCGACATCGAAATCCGGGCAGAGACATCCGACCGTTCGGAAAAACAGCGTCATGGACAGGTAACCCGCAACGATCATCAAGACGAAGGTAAAGAAAGCACCTGCTTCTAGGACTAGACCGCACATGAAGTAAACGATGATGCTGAACACCAAGATCTGGGCAGTCGAAAAGGCTAGATCAACTACAATCTGGGCGATCCAGAGTGCAGACGGTCGATAGAATGTGTACGAACGATGTTTATTGATTATAGGACGGCCGACCATGGTGGACGCGAGCTCGGAGAAGGCCTGGAAAGCATTGAACAAGAGTGCAATGAAAAGCGCACCGCCACGAGTGAAGGCACCAGCGGATGTCTTTGGAAGCTTGAACCAGACTGTACCGACGATGATGGCGATAACGATCGAGGTGAACCAAGACATTACTAGCGAGAATCGATCTTGCCATTTCAACACGAACTGCCGCTTCATGATGGCCCAGACCTGCAGGTGGAAAGGGATGGAATAGACGGACTTCTTGCTAGTATGACGTTTGGATTCATGGACCGCTGCCTGGAACTCTTCGTAGACGTGTTTCTCTTCGTCCATCGAAGCACGATACGTCTCCATATCCCGCGACAGGTCCTGGGCGAACTGCGACTCATTAAAGGCTTTTGAAAGCGCAGCAGGGCTTGATGGAACGTCTTTCTCCGATCTACCGTCCTTGTATTCGCGCTCGTAAGGATCGGTGCATCCGGTCAAATAGTCCGGTGTCGTTTGACGCGGTTTCTCAAGGAATCCAAGGCCTTCGAAATATGCTCGAGCCTGATTAGCAGACCCGAAAAATACTTGGCGGCCTTCATCGATGACCATGACTTTGTCGAATTGGTTGTAGATGTTCTCGCTGGCCTGATAGAGCGAAACGAATGTGGTGGTCTTGTAGATGTTCGTCATAATTCTTAAACTCTTGGTAAAGTCGAGCGCGGTACTGGCGTCAAGGCCTCTGGTTGAGTTGTCCCAGCAATTGACGCAGGAGCCGGCGATCATCATCTCGGCGATGCTCACGCGCTTCCGTTCGCCACCAGAAACGCCTCGAATGAATGAATTTCCAACGATGGTATCCTTCGTATGCTGGATGTTGAACATTTTCAGTAGCAAGTCGACAACCTTCTCTTGGAATGCCTTTCTCGTCAAGCCAGCCGGTCTCTTGCCAGGAATTTTGGTTTCCAGAGCAAAGTTGAAGGTCTGGCCAACGGTGAGCGTAGGAAGGTGGACGTCATCTTCTCCATTGTACACGGCCTCGCCTCGATATCTTTTTTCGAAGCTGGCGCTGTCGTATGGGCCGAATAACACGTCGCCGTCCACTCGGGTATATCCGAATCGCTGATTTGAAATGACCTTTAAGAATGTCGTGCAGCCGCTTCCCGGTTTCCCAAGGACAAGGCACATTTCTCCAGGCTTAAGGACGCCCTTGAAATTGTTCAGGATCTCCACCTCGCGCCCTTTTTTTCCGAGTCCCAGAACGGTCTGAGCGGTCTCGTAGAGGTTGAAAAAGCTCACGAATGCATCCGGAAATGTCTTCACGAAATTCTTCACTCCGCCAACGCCAGCAACGGTCAAACCATCCCAAATAACTCCAATCCTTTTGCTCTTGATTCCCGCTTCTTCCTCTTGGCTTTTGGAACCCCTTAGATACTCTTCCAAGTCGAATGCTTCCTCTTCCGAGCTGTCGCTAGTCGGTCCCTTCTCGATGTCTGGAAGTTCGGCCCTGGAAACATCATGGGTCTTACCGTGGGTAACAAATTTCCCCGATTGTCGGCTTTGTGGTTTCTCCAATCGACGCGCATCATAAGAAGCTCGAGACAGCTCTTTAGAGAGCTCGGCAAAGTCGTGTTCTGCCTGGGTTACATCGACGCCACCACTGCGGGGCCCCACATGGATGTCGCCGTACTCCTTCGAAGGTCTTGTGGACTGGCTTAAGGGTGAGGAGTCGCCTGCAACCGTTGTCTCAACGCTTCGTGGTGAATACTTTGCGCTGTTCGAAGTCCCTTCCGCTTTGGGATTTTCGGGCTCTGCGACCGAATCGTGGGACAGACCGGCCGGGTTCTGAGTATCACCATCTACACTAGTCACTTGGGGCGGAGGTGACTGGTGCGATGAAAGGGCGGTCGGCTCTGCAGCCTCAGATCCCTCAATATTGGTCTCAGGCATGGAATTTGCACCACCAACGCAAATGAATGGTACACAAAAAGTTAATAAGTAAGCACGCTAGCCCTGAACTTGGGGATAGCTCACGGCGAGGTGGAATGAATCGAATATAGAAAATGAATCGAATAAAATGAATTGAATTGTAGAAAGAATTGTAGAAGGAAGGAAAGAGTGAGAGTTGGGACGGATTCATCAGCAGCAAACGGCACAGGCGCCTGCGATGGAGTAGGAACATATAAAAAACCCAACCATGCCCAATGGCTGCCTAGCGTCAAGTCAAGATTGAGCCTGCAGCCCTGGAATCACTCACTGGAATAGCGAATGCGGAACACCGCCTGTAAATGCAGTGCAACCGGCTGGCTTCAAAGCAATTAGCTTCCGCCCTTCCCCTAGGTTAGCTCGTTCCATGTCGCTATTCCATGTCGCTGTTCCAGCCACCCGCGACTTACCTGCCCTACTAGCGAATCTTTGACAATGAGAAAACCAAAAACGGACTCGGATGGGGCCACATATCTGCTCCGAGCAATAGAGCAACCCGAGTCCCGAGCAAAATCGTGAATAATGCGTTGTATCAGAACTTCGAGTGCCCTGGATTTCTAATCAGGAATTCGTTCTCATCACAGTGAACCGATTGGTTGAAGGTGCGCTGCCACCCTGGGCTACCGTCCTACCGAAATTTTTTCTGAGCCCGGACCCCAAGTCCCCATAAGATCTGATGGAGACGGGAATGTTCACATTATCTATCCGCCATCATGACTCCACACTCCTACACCATTACCAGTTACAACTCCTTGGTATTTATTATTAATACTACGTCCGCGATCTGTCATACGATTCTTGCACTCCTATGCTGTTGCGAATCCACCGGACGACTTTTCACGGAGATATTCGAAGCCCTACGCCTTCCACTTAAGGATATCGTTGTCCGTACTGTCGTACTCATAACAAGATAGGTTTTCCTGAGCAGTCCAGCGCCCTGGATTCTCTGCAAAAATACCGGCAACATGGATCCCTTTGAGGTTTGACGAGATGTCAAGTCTCAGAGTATCAGCAACCATGTGTCATTATGATTCATATCAAAGCAAACACGAAGGAGATTGCGGACGGACATGACGAATCGTATTTCATGGATCCTTTCATAGGTCATTCTGCATTCATGACTCAATTACTGCGGAATCGACCGTGGAGACAGCATCATGCAAGTTGACCGATCCAGGACACCGCAAGGCGAGCTACTGGTGCATGTGGTCTGGTGCCCGTTCCATGCTCTTGGGAATTAAACAGTAAACCTCACAGGTCACAAGTCTCCTGCCTGACTGGATATTTCAATGGTACACAGACTCTGAGGATCTGAGTCCACCATGCTCAACGTTTGGCCGCCGAATTAAGCTCCAGATGTCGCTTGGTATGTTGAAAAATCAGCGAAATAAGAACCTGTTTCGAGGGTGATAATTCAGACGGCGCGGTCTCCGCGGATTCTTCTGTTGGGTGGGCTAAACAATATAAAGTAATTGGCGGCCCCTATCGGTCTCCAGGCCCCAGGGATTGGTAATTGACCAGGATGTACGGAATAGGTACGTATCCGTGCCCCATGACCGTTGTGGGTGCTCCCAGACCAAAAGCACAACCCAGGCCAAAAGTACAATTTTACCATCATCTTCAAATCTGTACCACCAAACATGCCTAAACGCATCAAATATCCAGAGGAGACTATACAGAAAGCACTCAAGAAGGCTACAGAGCAAAAAAAAGCAGGAAAAT